GATAATACTATTTTTAAATGTTTTCTTATTACAAAAAAAAAAAATGTATCTAAATAGTCATAACCTTTTCAGCGTTGGAGTCTAAATACACATCTAAAAATTGAATCTAAACAATAATATTAATAACTGTATATGACTATGATGACATTTTTTTGTGAAACATTATGTGCTCTAACTCTAACCCTATCTTAGCTAAGGTAAAATACCATTCTAACCAAACAACATTTTATTAAACTCAGTTTTATTTTTTATTGTTCCAATTAAATTTATTATAGAATTGAATTTAAATAAATATATAAAAAATATTTATAAAAATAAACGAATGACCCAATAAAACTCTATAATCTCTTTTCGGTATCTATAAAATATATACATATTATATTTATTTCCAATAATTTCAATATAATAAAAAAAACCAGCACATTCGAGTCGTTGCCCGTACCGGTTAGGCTAAGATAATAACTATATATTAACTAAAAGTAATAAAATCTGTCTTAAAAAAAGACTTCCACGCCATTTTGTAGCTGGTGTACAAATATCGAATATCAATACAACTCACCAGTTTTTAATAAGTAGGTATATTTTTGATAGAGAAGCGGTTGACTTATCTGACTTTGAAGACAATTTTAAAGAAAAAAAGGGGGGGGGGTTAATAATAAATTCCGACCGTGTCAATTTATTTACAGAATAATTTCTAAAAGGTTAAACGTGTTGGGTACAGTTTGTTCTCGACGAGTAAACGCCATTTTAGTGGTATTTTGGACCAAAAAAATGCTAGACAAAAGTTCGACTACTTAGGGTGGCTCGATATTTTTATTTTTTGTAAAGTGGTTAGAGTTTTTTTTAGCTACTTTACCGTGTTATATGTAGGAAGCCGATTTTCGTTTAAAAACGAAACTTTTAGGTGTAAATTTTTATTACACAAATTTTAGAGTTTGAAATAATTTTTTTTTTTACTATTATTAATACTGCTTTGGGCTAATAATTGCATGCCAGTTTATAGCTAACAGTCGACACGGTAGTTTTATAAGTTTATTAAGTATATAATTAGGGTTTTTTTTATATATATATATGCTGCTATACTAGTAATTTATTTTTCGGGTTCATTGCTACTCTAAACGGTTACAATTTTATACAATACATATATGTGTCTATCCACGTGCAGTCAATTTGCAGTTTACAACACTTTAAGTACCGCATAATTTGTTATTTAAAACATCTTACATAATTGTTGGACATGTTTTGTTAGATCTTTTTACAGGCGTGTCTCTACAAATCCGTGTAATCTAAAATCCTAATAACCTGATAAACATCCACTAGACCACAAGTGAACAACACACTACTAGAACTTAAAGTAAACTGGAAATAATTAATTACTGTGTAATTTATGCGCAAAGTTCAAGTAGGGATACAAATTGGTATTATAATATTGTGTTAAATTAAGATGGTGGTTTCGGTACAGGGTTCTTGAAATGATTTCTCAAGTTAAAAATAAGTGAACGTTGGAAACCATTTTTATTTTGCAGTATTGGCTGTTGCTGTAAAATTCTTCAGCTACTTCTGTTATGCATAATATTATCTGCTATGTTAGGAATAGTCTATTGTTACATTATATTTCTTAATTCTGCATATTATGCTTTGACTGCTCGTCTCTCTTTTATTCCAAAGTCAAGATCAATGTCGGAAATTCAAAATGAAAAAACTTACACTCCAAGGTGAGACAGATCACAGAAAATAATGTTTGTTTCTGATTGGCCCCATTATAACAATGCAAATTGATCTAAACGTTTTCTTTTTAGAGGTTCACCCACCCCCCAAATTAAATGCTTTCTTAGACCAACCTAGACGAGCTGCAGACGGTTTATATTATTTAAACCGGAATTCGCCTAATCCGTCCGTCTGGGACGCGGTTGTAATTAAAATCAAATCTATTTTAACACGTGTCGCTGCGTTATACCTTGTACTTAATAGGTTCCATATACATGTACAGGGTGATTGGTACTTGGTTAACTACGACCCAATTAATATCTTAGAAAACACATGTATACTACTTGATAGACTTTTTCAAATTATTTTTTTTTACACTTTTGTATAGTTACAATAGGTTGCCCAATTTTGATATAGTTATAATATTCAAAACGATTATACTATCATCAGTGCGTTGAAACCTCAAGTACTTGAGCTTTTAAGTCTTTGCTTTGGCGCAGACCCGGAAAAATCGAGTTGTGTTATCATAACGAAAATTAACAGCTGATTTATCTGATAAGGTAAGAGAGATAAGAGATAAGAGAGATAAGGGATAAGAGATATGTTTTAAATGAAAGCCCCACCGAATTTTGACTACTTAGAAAGGTCCACTTTCAATCCTGGTTGGTAGGTTATGTTTTCAAAAAGAACTCTATACAATTGCAATTGTTTTAAGACAAAAAAAAAAAAAAATTAGTGTCTTGTTCTTGAGTGTACCACCCTGTATAGATGGTACTATATAATATACTGTATATATTATATTATACCAAAGTGTGTCAGACGACAGATAATTCAAGGGTCGCGCCGGCTGTGGCGATAATGTGTCGTCTGACCTATATTATGTTCAAACACACACACACGGGGGATAGAACATACCTATAAGTATACTTGTGTATGCACGACAGTGTAATTATATAAGTGCGATGACGTCTGCCGAGTACACCTATACTACATACGTGCAGACGCTATTACACCGTACGAGATCTATATTATTAAGATCGAGGAAGCGCGCACTGGTTAAGTTTGCCCAACCAAACCTAACCAAACTAACTAATCAAACCAAACCTAAGCAACCTAACCTAACCTAACCTAACCTTTTTATTGATTATTTAAGGATTGTGATAAATTTTACCCCTTGTCCATAAAAGTTGTTTATTAAAAAAATCCAATACAATACATTTTATAGAGTGGATATCCCTTTACCTATGACCACTTGATATTTCATTCCATTTGAAAATAGTCCATTAAAAATTCATCATTAATAATATTAGTTCAGCTTGTTTACCCATTTTGTAAAATACTATTGATTCTAAAAACTATGTGACCATAAATGGGGAATGGCATTTTTACATTTTTTTTATCCAATCTATCAAATAATATCTAAACTTACACTTATTTTCGGAAAATGGGTTTTTTTTTAGATAAAAACTTTTTAGAGTGTTGAAATGTTGCCAGTTTTTTATTTTACGTACATAAGGAATGAAATTCAACCGAAAATTAAGCAGTTAACATATTATTTTTTTCCTTTAAATATGTTTCCAACCCTGAATGATGGTGTTGACTTGTCCTGCAATTTGGACTCTCTCGACAAGAGGTCCCCCTTTTCCCTTTCCTCCTCGCATATATTGATATCTGATATATTACATCTAATCAATGTAATTGTAAATATTTAAGTTAACTTAATTTTTGACTAAGTTTGTTTTATACGGTGCATAATGTTAACATTTTATAATTTGATACGACAATACATACATAGTGGTTTTTTTGTTGTGTAATAAACCAGTTTTTAAGACAAAATAATATGACAACAATTAGTTATCAATTACACGCGCGCGATTGTTTCGATTTATATTTAATAAGATGCAAGTATTACTTTCTTTGTAGTCGTTTTGTGGCCAGGTTGCATTTTTAGGTGTTCTTATATGTTATTCTTTTCAGGTACATAATGTGGCTTTTGTTTTGCCAAACGATTTTTAACATACGTCACAGCGTTTATGTAACTTTACAACCAGAACATGATATTATTTTTCACTTCCAACCGGTTGTTTATAATATAATTACTCGAATTTAACACAATAATAATAATAATATATTACAAGAAGTCCGCTTTGTAATTAATTTATGTCAAGCAATGTAGGCAATTGTTGTTGTTAAACGTTTTCCATAAAGTAATCTGTACACAATACATTCTATATTTGTATTTGATTTTAATATGCGTTTAAAATCAATTAAAAACAGCTTCTAACCTAATTTTCGAGGAAAAAAAATCAACAAACTTGGAAATAAAACATCATCAATATACGATGAAGTTTAAATTAAACTTGATCAAGCCTAATTCACGTTACATTGTTGTGGTTAATGTATATTCTCACTCGTACCGCATCATCATTTAAATAATAATAATATTTAATAAACTTATACACTTTACAACAGCTACTAATGTATATTGTCGAATTTAAATGTAGGATTGCGTTTATATATGATTAATGAGTTGGTAAAAATATACAACCAAACCCGTTTGTGGGTATAATAATTTTTATAAATCATAAATCTTATACCTACTATATACATTGTACAAGAATATATAATATCCAAAATTGGATTACAATGCACTTCAATTACTAGTGTTGATAGCACACGTGCGGCGTTCAAACGTTTATGTATATATATATATATATATTTAAATTAAACTCTATATTTCTTACTGGTGTCATATCATAATAATGTATATAATATTATGTTTTTTCACTAAAACTGTCACACGGCCATAAATTCATTTTGTATTGTTTCTTTTGGATTTCAAATTTTCACCTGTTGTACGTTTACCCAAACAACCCTTGTGACTGTTTCCAGGAGGGCGAGGCCCAGGGGTGTGGGAATTTCCATGAAAACTGCATTAAAACAATATGAAACGCCTTATCCTAATTGTGTACACTGAAGTTGTTCAAACAAAGTACAGCGTTGAAAAATATATTAGTAGCGGTGAAAAATATCAATTTAATATATGTATAACGTACATAATAAATCAACTATTTTGTTTTTACCTAACTGTAGTGGTAACCTAACCGTGGTGTAGAGCTAGTCCAACCCTGCTATTGGCACAAGCCAAGGGTTGACCTGAATACTCGACCGTTAAAGGAGAATTTTCAAGACATTCCCATTTATAATAACAGCTCATGTCATAAGCCAAATGAGCACAAATTTGTTCACTTTCAGTGTAATGAATTAATACAATACCTTTTACACTGTTACAGCCGGTATATGCTGGGCGTCCATGGGCAAGACCGGTCTGTGCAAGGATCTCATAGCAGAACGTGTGTCCAAAGAGACTTGTTGCGAACTTGGTGGAAGTTCGGTTTCCACGTCTTGGAGTCCGGCGGACTTGGACTCGGGAGCGCTGTTTTTCTGGAGAGTTTTGGGCGACGGCGTGCCTTGTACACGGTGCAAAGGTAAAGACAGAGAAAAATATTGTTAATTAATTGAAATCATGACAAAGTATACAAGTATAGTCGAATCGCTTGTTTGCGCCAACTATACAAAAATTTCAAATAAATTTTAACTTATATAGTTTCAGTATAGTTAAACTACGCTTAAGTTTTCAAGCACAGTCGGTGCAAACCAACAGCTAATGTAAACACTAATGTGTCAAAGTTAAACGTGTCAATAATAAATGTAGTCTGCTTGATTGGGCCAAAAATGGTACCGGCAAAGATTGTCTCCTCTCTCCCTTTCAGTTCCATATTCTGGTATATACATCTGGTCGCATCCTGGGCTTTGCTATTTTGATTTCTACCTGTAGACTGTTTACTGAATTCACAAAATCGTTTAGGATCGTGTGCCGGAGTGGAATGCGGTTCTGGAAAAACCTGTGTGATGCGATCGGGTTCTCCAAAATGCATTTGTTCGCCAAATTGTAAGCGACACGATGGACTTAGGGTAAAGGGCCCGGTCTGCGGCACGGACGGCGTGTCGTACAAGTCGTTATGCCGGTTGAAGAAGAGGTCGTGTAGAACCAGAGACCAGTCTCTAGTTGTGGACTACCACGGATTATGTCAAAGTAAGTAGCATCATGAGCTTTTGTAAAAAAAATAAATCAATACATTAGTACAAATTAAGACCAAAAAGCCAGACAAGATTTCGGCTACATAGGATGGTTCGATTTCAAATATGTTAAGAGATTAGAGTTCTTTGGCTACTTTATATGTTGTGTAGGGAGTCAATTTTCATTTTAAAAATTGTCTTTTTCTTGTAATTAAATATATTAAATTTGCAATTTTCTCCGTATTTAACCCGAATATTTTTACATGAACAAAGCAAAAAAATCAAAAATCTGTTTCCTACATAACCCAGTAAGGTTGCCAAAAAAGTTAAGAGTATCCACCACACTTCATGCAGATACATCAATACATGGATATGTCATAATAATTATATGACTATTTCCAATCTGTAATCTCCTTGCGATATATGATGACAGTATAGTCTTAATCATGTGTGTTAACATTTAACATTTCTCATAAATTAATTTCCGTGGTTCGCCAGTAAGTAAGTGGCGACCTAACAAATTAATTTTACTATCCTTATTTATATATTAGTTATATCCTTATATATCCTTGTATCCTTATATATTTTAATACATATGGATATATATTTATATCCATATATATTTTAATATATAATATATACAAGGTGTTCCAGCATGAAAGGTAAGTAATAGATGATTGGACATCTAGGAGACCCCCAAATAAGCCCCCCGTATTCATTTTTTCGATAATTAAAAAATTTAAAGTTTCGACAGTTAAGTAAAAAGATAATGACTTAAAAAAACAAAAAGTTATTCCATGTTATTCAGTGCAAAAAGCTAACCTTAAAAGAGGGGTCCCATCATTTTCAGTCTTTTTCAGCCCTTAACTCTTCTCTTATCATTTATTTCTTACCTCTAGTCTCTAATCGTTTATCTCTTACCAATTATCTCTTTTCTTTTATCTCTTATCAATTATGTCTTAGAATTTATCTTTTATCACTTATCATTTATTTCTGGTATCTAATCATTTTTCTCTTATCATTTTTTGAGTTAGGGGCCGAAAGGGACTGAAAATGATGTGACCCCTCTTTTAAGGTGAGCTTTTTGCACTGAATAACATGGAATAATTTTTTTTTTTAAGTCTTTATTTTTTTACTCAACTGTCGAAACCTTCAATTTTTTACTTATCAAAAAAATGAAAACGGGGGGCTTATTTGGAGGTGCCCCAGATGTTCAATCACCTATTACTTACCTTTCATGCTGTAACACCCTGTATATAATCTTTTATCTCTTATCTCTTATCTCTCATATCTTATCAGATAATTATTTATCAGTTCTTTCCTTGAAAACACAACCGCTAGATCGCGCCACACGCACAAATTCTCCTCGGTAACGTTCAGCGTAACGCGCGAATTTTCTTATTGACCCCCCGGGGGCCAAAAGACATAATATCCGTGTCAAAACTGCTTAACCCGAGTAGTAGAAATTTTGTCTAGCTTTTACGTCAAAAACGTCCGAAAACGTAGACCGCTTTAAAGCCCCTTAACATATTTTGTTAAACGATTGTCGTAGGCTTCTCATTAAATGCTATCCCATTTAATGGCAATAAATTAGGCAAAATCATAAAGTATTAAACCTACTGTTGTTTTCTCGTTGCAGACTCGTGTGACAAGGTGTCCTGCCCCGGAGGAAAATATTGTCTTCAGGACCAAAACTTGATGCCTCACTGTGTGAAATGCGCATCCTACTGTTCGCAGGGCTTATCTCCGTCCAAGTTGGTCTGCGGTTCTGACGGACGTACATACCAAAGCGCGTGCCATTTGCGCGAAGCCGCCTGTCGAATGGGCAAAGCCATTCCGATCGCTTACAAGGGCCGGTGCAAAAGTGAGTTCACAGTAATAAAAAATTACTTTGGCATCATAATCCATAAAAAATCGTTCCTATAAGAAAACATTAAGATGCAGCTGATGCTGTTGGCGAGACAAAAAACAAGGGCCGAAAGGACTACCAGGGTAAAGGGCATAGTCATAACTAAGGTGGCTTAGCCCTCTTTCTATGTCTGCCCTTCTAATAGCGCTCAAAGGCCACGTTGAAAATGTACCGTATTTCCCCTGTAAAATTCATAGTTAATTTTTTTTCACAAAAATCTGTAGGTTGGCGGTTCGATACGGTTGTTTAAAATGTCCGAATCCGATTCCAGCCAATATTCATTTTAAATGACCTCTAAAAGGATTGAGCGATATTTCTATAAAACGCTTCAGTTACCTACCTTTCTCTGTACCGATCAGTAGTGTAAGGTCCCTCTAACCGAAATAGATGTTCCGAGTTGTCTGTACTATGCGCTGAACGGTAGTTTATGTTGCTCTCTCTCTCTCATTTCCATATACACCCGAGTCGTTGCTCTCAACCCCATGCCGCCCCGCTTGTACGACGGTTTTTATGTAGGTCCGTAGGTAGGTAGGTAGAAGTTTTTAGTGCTACAAACACAATGTTTTTTTCGCCCAACATATATTATATTATATACTTTACTTTACCACCCGGCGACGGCGGCGGCGGCGGCGGCAGTTGGTCTCATTAGACCGTCTAGACGCTTCGCACTACAAAATCCGCCACGTTTTACAACCCATCAAAGTGCCAGCGTTTCAAAAGTACATTAAACAGTGTCCCGTCTCGACCGCTGTACCGCGAGCCACCCCCTTCCATCCCTTCATCCCTACCCCTAAAAATTATATTGTTATTATCCGTCTGCGAGAAGGGGGTCCACCTGTTTTCGCAATAATACACTATGTTATATTTTATTATAAAATACCGGACGCGCGACTAAACTTGTAATAATAATAATAATAATATGACAAATGTCGGATTTTATACGGTTATCGCGTCAGATGTAAAAAAAAAACAATAATAATAATATATTAGAGGCGACTAGTTCCAAAATACTAGAATTTTCCTAAACGGTCAAATACACTGTCGTACACGGTTTGTGCAAAATGTATTCCACATCAAACAAATGGTTATATGCTGTCTGATGATGGAAAATTGGGGTTAGTTTCGAAATCACCTGTATGTATAATATTCAACGTTTGTTTCAAAACCACCTACCTACAAACGTAAAACCGATTTTAAAACCAGCCATATGTGAACAAATATATAAAAATTGTCGGTTATAATTTTGTAAGAGTAAATATATATACAGCAACAGCCTAAGAGCATGGGGTTGCTATACATAATAGTTATTTTTTAAATAGTACAAGTGACTATCAAACCTTTTTATCAATGTAACTTATTTTTTATCCGCTTTGGAGTACGGTGTTTAAATAGTCACGTTAATTAACTATATATATTACCGACCTTATAATACATCACAATTAACCTGAGACCTGAGCACAATTTAACGGCTTTGACGTCGCTGTCACTCAGTTGATAATAATAATAATAATAATTATGATCATAATGTGGTCCACCGCTAAGTACTATAATAACCAAAGGGGTGGTCCACGACGGTGTGGATCGTCCCCAAGAACCGAGAAGAAGACTATGTGTGGCATGCCTAGGACCTAGAGACAATAGAGATTTCAAAAATATTGACGGGTTTCTCGAGTTAAAAAACGAGACTATTTTGAAAACAAAGCAAACGACACGAGACAAGCTTAAACAATTATTTTTATTTGTCAAAACTTTCAGCAGAAAATTTGAATGTTGAAATGATGGTTATAGAAAATGTGAATAAAGAATGCTTACCTATATAGCCCCCCCCCCCACCCCCACAGATAATTACATACCGAGCTAAGCCCGTGTAAGTGCACTTAAATAATTAATAACGTGTGTGGGGAATTTTTTGCAGAGTCGGCCACGTGCGCCACGGTGAGCTGCAAGAACGGTCAAAAGTGCCTGACCGAGAGCAACACCGGACGTCCGCGTTGCGTCACCTGCGACCTGCCATGTCCGGAAACGGAGTCGACCAAACGCAGGGAAAACGGCGGCGGACCCATTTGCGGTTCCAACGATAAGACTTATCACTCTTGGTGTCACATGTTCATGGACGCGTGCGCCACCGGTTTTGTCATCGAGACCAAAGCTTCGGGCCCCTGCCACAGGACCACCGGGTCGCCGTACGTTCACCAGCACTTGGGTAAGCGCCATTGACAATTATATTTCTTCAACATGAATATATTATGTTGTGTTTCGAAAACAACGGTGGGGTTTCAAGCGGCTGTAGGTTGTCAAGTATTGTGTTCCCGAATGATAACAGGTTACCACTATGGTTATGACGGTCCCGCTCTACCCCGCCCTTCGTGGTCCTTTTTTTTTTTTACCAGGTTGTAACCGGGTTATACCAATTTGAAGAATAATACGGGAACGCGGCAGAGACATCTAGTGGCGGTAATTCGAAACTCGACAACTCCGTCTTTCGTTCAAGCCCTACCAGAGCGCTGTAGGTCTTCACAACCTACAGCCGTTTGAAACCCCAGCATTCTTTTTGAAACGCCCTGTATTACAACAAATAAATAGTCGAATTCCTATAAAAACAGTATCGATCGTTGAAGTCAGGAAAATGGCCGACTTTTTCTATCAAAGAGCCCCTTGTTTACAAATTTCTAGTGGATAAAATCGAAATAACCTATTGGAAATTGCAATTTGGATATCGGCGGAAGGCGACAATTTATTCCAATACTTTATACTTGAATTTTAGTGATTTCAATTTGTAATTTTAGTTTAAAAAAAATAAGTTATTCAAAAGTCAAAATTTTGGTACACAGGTAATATGCACGAGCGAAACTTTTAAGTCGATTATACTGAAATTAAAATGTCTTAAAACTAATTTTACTATGATAATTTATCAACATTAATCATAATGTAAGCAAAAGGCTTTTTGATATGAAAAGTCGGCCGTTTACCTGACTTCAACGTGAATTCTTAGTCGGCTATCTAGTTGTAATATACATCTGCGACCCATTAAAACTTAAGATTTAGCCAACTCCAAAAAGAAAACCCTGGTAAAAAAAAAAAATAGAGCCTGTCTAAGAAAAAAAAACTCCCGAAACACGATAAGAATTTTACCCAGACTTAATATATATCTTATATATATATATATATATATATATATATATCTTAAGAGGACGTTTATTAAAAAGTTGGGTATATAGGCGATTTTTTGTAAAATCTTAATTTGACCGTTAAAATTAGATGTTTAAATTGTCAGTGCAGTAAATAGGAATCGTTTTTGGTGGTTGATTTTTTTCAGGCAGCATCCTTGAGAGATTTAAAAAAAAAGTTGTCATCTTAACACGTTCATGTAAAACAGAAAAAGGTGCCCTACAAAGGAATTTTACAGATAAAACATCTATAATAAAAAATATAGAAGACAAATTTTGTCTTCTATTCTGACTTTTAAGCGTTTTGCGTTATTTACAATGCATGTAGATCAATATTATGATATAAATTATTATTATATGAATATTGTATTGTAATGAATGCAAAATACATTTTTTAAACTTTTTAATTAATTATCTGATTCTTGTCCTCTATATTTTTTTACTATAGCTGTTATATACCTACCTCTAAAATCACTTTACCACTGAAAATCATCGATGAGACGTCTTCTTAAGTGATATTAGACTTTTCAAACTTTACTTATTATACCTACTTGGATTCGACCAATTTTAATACATATTTGTCAAAAATATACCTAGCCCCGTCCTATATGTGTAAAATATATTAAACTTAACAAATAGCCTCAATCAATAAGTACTCGCCTAATAGGTGAACTTAGATGTAGTTTATTATTGTAATTATATTTATTTATCAACCATGTGTACACACCTGCGATTCTGAGTATGTTTTGGTATGTTTTCAGATACCATCTATAACAGCAATTGGAATTTTTTGAACGCTTCCGACTCTTTGGGCGGTTTGACAATGATTTGACCAAGTCGACCACCAAAGCGAACGTGATATTCCTCTAGACAAATTTAAACCGCACAAAATATTATTATTATCATCATAATAATAATATTACAACAAAATTACCAGTTAAATAACACAAATCACAATTCACACACACACACAGCACTTACTTCGTATGTATATTAATTGTTGTACACTATGCAATATATTATTATTATTAATTAATAAATTTATCGTTGATATTATATTATTATATATATATATATATATAGCCTTGATACTGTCAAAAATGGCAATATACAACTAGTATACATTTAAGTATAGGGTAGATCTATATGTATATTATATATAGAATAATTGCATCCCTTATTGATCTTTCTTATACATTCACGTTACTATTTGAACGTTTCCATTTGCACAGGGTGGCTAGGGTATGTGTACCTATATTATAATGAAACCGATTCTTTTATTATATTTAAATTTTCCAAATATATTAATTATTGTAGTACCTACATATTATGCCTTAGACTTGTATTATCCATGTATATAACGGATAATGGGTAGGTGCCTATAGTGCTTTGAAAAATGTAGGTATACCAATTATTGGTGTGCAATAATTATGATTGCACCTTTATAATATACATATTATTAGGTAAATATCATGATGTTTTTTATTTATTAAACAAACGCAAAAACGTTTACATACTATTCACGCTAATTATTATTATTATTATTATATTTTATTATTCATTAGTACTAAAAACAAAATATTATTATACACTGTAAATAAAAATAACTTAGACTGTAGATAATAAATAATATGTTTATTTAATATACAACAATATTTATAGACGTTAAGATCATTATTTTTTAATTGTATTATTATTATTATATTCGTTTTTTATTTTATTTTAATGGTAGATAAAATTAGTTATTATATATTTTAACATACAGGGTGTAATGTAAAGTTCTACCGAGCTTCAAATGAGACATTCAGAATGCTCTATGGGTACAATAAATGGTATTCCTTTTTTTTAAATTTAAAAATTATTTAAAATAGAATTCGTATCTCATTAAAAAATTGTTTAATGGAAAAAATAATTTCAGATTTAAAATCAGGAGAAAAAATTTCGTTGAATTGATATGTAACATGATTTTTTGGTATCTGGCCACACTTGCGTCCACCGAGTGGCCACTGAGTGGCCGGCATGTAACCATAACCAACGTATGACACGTGACACATCAGTTTGGGTTAGAATTTTATTCTTAATTCAATGGGGTCCTTAGAATTATTTTATATTTAATTATGTGTTGCATGCTAGCCACATGTCGGCCACTCAGTGGCCACCCTGTGGACGTATGTGTGGCCAGATGCCAAAAATCATGTTACATATCAATTCAACAAGATTTTTTCTCCCGATTTTAAATCTGAAATTATTTTTTTCGTAAGACAATTTTTTAATGAGATACGAGTTCTATTTTAAATAATTTTTAAATTAAAAAAAAATGAATACCATTTATTGTACCCATAGAGCATCCTGAATGTCTCATTTGAAGCTCGGTAGAATTTACTTTAAACCCTGTATATATATTTATAAAAAGTAGTGTACGAGGTGATTGTTTTAAGTGTGAGTCGGTCGAAAAACCGATGAAGAATTTTCATGATGATTAGAAATGAGTAATAATTTATTTATTTCAATCAATTTAAAAGTTTTGCCAACGAGCAGACAGTGTTCTTTTTTACCTAAACCCACAATAGCCAACTACAGCTGTTTAAATATTATATATTTAATTGATACAAATATGCTCTATTAAGCTTATGAAATCATTGAAAAGTGACTGGGAAAAAATAAAACCATGTAAACGACAAACACTGTCCCAAGTTATTGGAGTTATTAGTAGGTTTGATCGACTTGAGTAATATCAAAAACAATTACCTTGTATGCTATAAAACGGCGTCTAGTCAGTTATTATGTAATTAAGTCTTGTTGTCATCTCACCCGCCGCACAGATATAATATGGATAATAATAATATTATATTATATATTATGTACATTTTAACAAACAATCAGCTGTTACCTATATATACTAATGAATAGTCTGTAATGTAACCGGTTAAAGGATAGCAAATATATATATATATTATGTAAAATGTAAATAAATAGATGAAGAAAAAACAAATGGTGAGAACCCAAATGGGTTGGAAAATTGACATTTTACATACATTTTATAAACCAGTTTTCGATTTTAAACTACCATTCATGTGTAAGCTAAATATAATGGGTTTAAATCGATACGTTTTTTAATTAAATTGTTTAAAAAAAAATACACAATTTTTACACCCTTCAGGTATTCACCGCTTGCATATTTATCAAGGCCCAGAAGTTATAGCACTAAAAAAAAATTTGAAAAAATTATTTTTTTTTAGCTCTTTATTATACTCACACTTAAAAATACCAAAATGTATGCGCAATAAATAGCATCCGCAAGTATTGGAAAACTTAAACAATACAATTTAGCAAAAAAAAAAAAACTACAAAAAAATGCTACAACTTCCCAGCGCTGATTTAATAATTATACACTTTAAAAATGTATTTGAGCTTTTTTTTTTTTTTACACAAACCTTAAAAAAATAAATATTTTAACGACATTGTGAAAAGCCATTGCAATACAATATATTTAATATTATACAAAGCAGTATTGTATAATACCCAACTTATATTATATTCGGTTGTAACCTGCCTGCCTGTGTATTATTTATTATGTTGATTTGGTATTTTTTAAGTAATTATACAATATTATATTGTACTCTATTCGAGAACTAAATACCTATGTTATAAATAATTACAAAACAACCTAACCAAATTATTATTATGTTTCAACAGATTTGTATCAAACAATAATAATAATACTTTATTTTATTAAGTATCGATTTGTTCACATGATAATATAATTTTTCTGTAATCTATTGCCATGGTAAATTTTTTTTTTTTTTTTGACACCTATACTTAGATATTATGTGTAATTTATTTTTTGCATACATACAATGCTTATTGCTACATATTTCAATTGTGTTATTTTTTTCAATCTATCCAAACACCGTCGGGGGTTCTTGCGTCGATACGTACCTACGTCAAGAGATGAATGAACTTTTATAATTATATAATTAAAAAATTGCGTGGCTATAAAAAGTTGGAAATAATTAGTTTAACGCTGGTCAAAGCGTCAGAGACAAGAGTAAGTGAATCTATTTACTTACTAAGTTATTTATTTGATTTCTTTAAAATGTTCTGAAAATTTGATCGTACATATTATAATGAAAAGTTTTATACCTCGTTGTCAAATATGAGTTAACATTCGATCGTCCCTCCGACTCCAGACTGACGGTTTTATATTATGTCTGTGAAACATGAAATGAAAATTTAAAAAGACAACTCTTTTTAGAATTATTATAGATAATATTTATCGTTATTTTTTATTATAATATGATTATATATAAGAGGCATTTGGTATGTTCGTATCAATTGTTTAACAGAGTACAATTAACGCGTTTCTTTACTAAATATTAATCATACAATTCAGAGTGCAATACAAAGGTACAATTATACAACAATTTTTTTTTTTTTTTTTACGAGACCAGAACGATTGAGGAACGCCTATTATCGCGTTTACATACATCAATTTAAAATTAGAAATCTAAACAACAAATGCTATAAATATGTACAAGAAAAAATTGAAAAGTAGTTAATTTTCTTATAAAAGTTACAGATTATATAATATAGGAATGATATTGTGACTAATATTATTATTGTGTTTGTTCATATGAAATCGTAATTAATTAGAGATAAAACAAGATTGCAGAGAAGAAAAAAAAAGGAAAAAACCTCTTTTGTTTTATTTTAAACGTGTCTCATTTTCGTCTAACCAATTAGTAACGGTGCATTGACGTTAATAATATTGTCGATAGCAAATATAATATATCGCCCATGAACATAACAAATAGCAATGTGCACCGTGTATAATATAAAATGTACCTAAAATTATTATTTTTTTAATATCTATAAATTGTTATTTAATATAACGCCATCATTATCGATATTTTTAAGTACTAAAATCAAAAAATCGTAAATGGCAACCGATATGAATATTAGACAAAAATAATAACGAAAAATTATTATCAAGGCAAATCTCGATATTACGAAAAAATCAATACACCAAGTTAGTATAAAAATTGTACACGATAAAATAAACAGAAAAAAAAAAATGTAGATAATATTTAAAATAAAACATAAAAATGTATAATATAATATAGTTTAAAAACAAAAACAGAGTAGCACAATCGTTAATCGAAACTGCTATAAAATCGAGAAAGAAAACCAAAATGTTATAAATATCATTTAAATAATATATACGATTGTATACATCCATATATTATAATTATACATATAAATCACAAATAAAAAAACATAATAATTATAATTAACTCGTACAGAATAGAAAGGAACTTCTACGGTATAGCTTTTATGTTATTTATGGGCGTTTTATATGTGTGACTAGTAACTATATCAAGGTACGTAATAAAAAAAAAAATCGATTCATATTATATCGCTACCGATTTAAAAAATAAAATACCATCACCAACGTGTTCAGGGCGTTTACAATAATTGATTAGTCGAGTGTTATCGCTATTACTATTATTATTATTATTATTATTATTACCTTATACGGCAAATTTAATTATTAAATTTACAAAAATACAACGATAAGTGATTATGAATCGGTTTTTATATAATATAATTAAAGGCATAGTGAAAATTACTTATTACAATAAATGTTAAAAAAAAAAAAAAATTAAAAAAGCAAAAATTTCAAGTAGATAAATATTGTAAACTCGGATGGTAATTTCTATGTACATTTTTAATATGTTTCAGTAAATTCTATAACACATCTATAGAATATAATCACAGCGATTTAAAACGAGTCACGCACTAGACTGTCTAACGTTAAAAGTTATTTCCAAAATTTCACTATTAGTTACTCGAGTGGGCCTTGCAATCGTAAAATAGTAAAACGACGGTCACCAATTAGACCACTAACGTTACGGTTAACAATTAACTGCGTATTATTAATTAATGTAGTATAGATCGTGTACATGATGAATATATTTTGCAATTATCGTAACGAAAAAAAAAAATTAAAGACGAAAAATAACATAAACAAATGTTTTGCTGCCCTATATAACTCTATAACTCTATTCAATAATTAAAAAAAATGTTGAATTTGAAATAAATCAATTAAACATGCATATATATATATTAAAAAAATATGTACACGTATATATATATATATATATATATATATATATATACGTACATATTTTTATGTTACGTGAGATATTTAATCTTATTTTAGAATTTTAACCACTCCTCAATTTGTTCAATTATACCAGAAATATTCACTTAATTTACAACAGTGTACATCCTTTACACTTTTGAACGTTTTCGCCTTCGCTTAAACTGATTACAGGATTGGGTTCGTCTTCGATGTGAGCACTCTGATCATGACGTTTCTAGATAAAAATCAAACGTTATTAGTTTCTTTTTTTTTTCTTCAAAATAACCCGAAAAGTAAATGTATAATATATGTTGCTCACTTTGAGTTCGGACGCTATTGTGACAAAAGCCTCTTCGATATTCTTGTTCTCTTTGGCCGACGTTTCCAACACGGACAACAGTTCAGGAAAATATTCACACATGGCCTCGGCTTCGGACAATTCTACTTGGCGATTCTCTTCTAGATCACATTTGTTGCCTTCGCGAAATTAACGACACATTGAAATTATTATTTTAATCGTAGCTACTTCGACTAGAATTATTAGAAACAACAACAGTGATGAGTACCCCCACTGATCTTACCAATCAATACGAGCAAAACGTTGGACGATGTATAACGACGTACTTCTTCTACCCACCTTTGTAAATTGAGGAACGTAGCCCGTTTTGTAATATCGTATACTATATTGACAAAAAACGAAAGTTCCATTATTGTACCTTAATACATTTAATTTCGAGACTATTTACCTAACAAAACACCATTTGCTGAACGGTAATAGCTTTGTGTGATAGTACGGAATCTCTCGTGGCCGGCTGTGTCCCAAATTTGTAGCTGAAATATATTATTGTGTTACGTATTAATCAGGCTTTTTATATAGAAGTACACTAAGAGATTGTCTTTAGATACTTTTTATATGTTTAGCACGATAAATTTATAACTTTTTTCTCAACCTAGAATGAGTTTTTCGAGAGTGGTAAACTTAACTAAAAAGCTTTTCGGGTTTAACTCTTTGAGGCATAGCGGGACGAAAAATAACCCACCATTTTAAATGTAGATATTTTATTTCTTTTAAAAAACCATGTTTTGCCGTCTCTGTCGTTTAATATTTTATAATCTTGTTTATTATCAGCTTACAAGGAAAAAATCAATTATGTTTAATTCATTCTATGAAATGACTAATTTCTGGTTATCTGGTGTCATTCGTAACGATAGGAAATGTGTCACACCAACACATCTTAGAACTGACCAATACTAATATTCGTCACCCTTTATGTCCGCCAATGAATCAGCAACCAAATTATCAATTACTAAAAGTCCCCGTAATAGAAAACAATATTATCGAAAATGATTCACCTGAAAATACATTGGAACCCAATATTAATGAGAATGAAGCGTCAAATAATGTTGAATTTACGTGCGCCGACGGTCCAACTAGTAGTTTGATTAATACTGAAGATGACCACACTCAGTTTTTAACTTTTCAATTATTGTTTTCAACTGAAATACTAGATTTACTTGTGTAACAAACAAATTTGTATGCAAACCAATTAAAAATTAGAACTGGAAAAAATTATACTCCGACTGATAAACAAGAAATTATGACTTTCCTAGGTATAAATATTTGAATGGGTATAAAACGTTTGCCAAGTTATAGAGACTACTGGTCTACATCTTTACACTTACATATGATGAATACATAAGTTCTCTTATAACTGTAAATTGTTTTGATAAAAAGAGGCTATAAGGTATGGTCGTTAGCTGATAAACATGGTTATCTTTGGAATTTCTATTCGTACACTGGTAAAATAGGAGACTCTGTTGAAACAAAATATCTTGGAGGACGAGTCGTCAAAGATTTAACAAATCCATTACAGCATAAAAATCATAATTTGTTTACAAGTGTACCACTTTTGACATATCTGAAATCGAAAGGTATTTTTTGCTGTGGAACTGTTAATAGTACTAACATTTATTCATGAGTAATAAATAGTATTGTTTTAAAAAAATAAAAAGTTTGTGTGCAACTAGGGTTTTTTCATTTATTAAAATCTCGTGCCTCTCAAAGAGTTAAAGACCGAACAAACACCCGAATTTAATCTATGGACAGCGAAAAACCCACTCCAGGTCAACACTCGAGTCAAGCGGTCCACCAGAACCGATGGGATATTTTTTTTTTGAATATTTTCTCAACGTAAATACTGCTATCGTTCGATTTACCTTGACTTTTTTGCCGTCAATCTTGATAGTCTTCATCGAGAAATCTACGCCGATCGTGTTGCCTTGGTTTTCGGCGTACGTGCCGCTTTTGAACCGTTGCACTACGCACGTCTTACCTGTGCCGCAGTCGCCGATCAAAACGATTTTGAACAGAAAGTCAAAGTTGTCTTCGGCCGGAGCCATGACCGCACTTGGCGTTTGCGAAGACGAGCCGGACGTGGCTACACTCGACGACTTGGACATAGCTGCCTAATGTACTGTATTATGTTATTTTTTTTTTACAATAACCTACTTTGTATTTTATTAGTTTGTCTAGACCGCGATCTGATGTCTGTGCATAACCAATGACGACGGTGTACGGTTTCGCGAATCAATTCGAGTGGTATGGACGGCCTGGAAGTGATGGAAAAGATATAATTGTTACAACACCTTTGTTAACAAATATTTTATCGCTTTTAACTGCAGTTGGCGTGTACGAATACGTTCCGGTGGCCGCGGATTGCTGGCTGTTAATCGACCGACGAACGCAGCGCAAAAAAAAATACCTATTCCGTACTATAGTCTAGAACAACATCATTATCTCGAGTCTCTAGTCTTTGTCGTTATCTAAACATATGTTACCATCCAAGTCCACCAGTCGTGTACAAAATATTATATAGTATTTACCGTGTTATTATTACACGCTGTGATAATACTATGTACCTATGTACGACGCAAACGTACAGCGACATCTGTTGGTATTATCATTATTGTCTTGCACCGCAGAATTGCCAAGTCCCAAGACGTTCTCGAATGTTTTGTAATTTTTTCCATTTGTATCCGCCAAACCCGGGTGGATTAATAAAATTAAATAACATGACGTATTGTCGTCGTCGACAATTAAACACAAAAACGGTAAACGGGTAATTTTTTTATATTATAAAATAACAACAATAAAGGCATCAGGTCAATTGCGTCGTTGTTGGGAGAACCAAAGACGTTACAAGTTTCTCGCCTTGCGGTAAGGAAGCGGGGGGTGAGGGTTTCCCGCGGCAATTACATCCATGTCAAGGACGACCTAGACAATGTTAAACAACATTTAGACAATGTTAAACAACATTGTCAAAACAAAAAAATGTTATTGTGAATTCCTTCGAAAAATACACCCACAAAAGTCGATTATTAACAGTGAGTAAACCACCTTAAATACAATACATCTAGACAAAAGTTTAAATATTAACCCTCCAGCCTTCGAAAAAAAAAACCGTGTACAAAGTTTTGCAAAATTTGGCAAAGTCAAAACGGACCAAAAGCACGTCCATTACCTACGTTGATTTTAGTAATAAATATTGTCAAAACTCAATAAATAAAATTATATCTATTATGAATATTCAATGCGCTTATGATATTTTTATGGCCGTATGATTTTACCTTGTTCACAACGGTTAAACGCGTTTGAGGGGAAATCATTTCAATCGATTACTCCATTCTGTTGTATATGGTATTTGTTCCCAATTAATATTGTGTTCTGACTTCTGCGTTTTACCCACTTGATCTTCAGACATAAACAATAAACAATTGTGCGCTACCACATTCTTAGCTCTATAACATCATAATACTAAATATTTTTATGTTTTGACCTGTACTTATATGATTTTTAAGCCAATCTAGTTGTTAACACGCGCCAGAGTTATAATAGAAGTTAAAACCCAAAAACTGCTCCAAACACTATAAATGTAGACTTTACAGGTTTGGGTTTTCAGACTTGAAAACTAATATATGACCATAGTAATACATATAAACACAAAATAAGTATACCAAATAAAATAAAAAAAATGGAAAATACCTCCCCCTTGAAAAAATATTATGATAAGTTCTTTCTCGTAGAAGGGGTGAAAACTTTTCTATACAATTTTCTCAAAAATCTGTAATGAAGCTTTTTGTTTTACTAAGGAAAAATCATCAAAAAAAAAAAAAAAGGAAAATCATAATTTTACCGTTGTAAACTTCCAAGTTGCTAAGTATAATGAAAACTTTTGTATTGTGCTTTCATCTGGCGTTAAAGGTTATGATGTATGACTTGCTTCATTTTGACTTTTGATAAATTGACTTTTTAAGACATACCTACAATACTTAACTCAGCTTTTACAAAAATGTGACTTAAACCACTACGGTATAAACGCTCTCATTCATATATTACTTTTAGGTTCAGACTTTAAAAATTCAATATAAATTAATACTTATTACTTTTGTATTTTTGTCTGGAACATTGGATCTACAGATTCGTATCCAAGCGTTTATTGAAAAGAGATTTTATCACTTTCAATTATAATAATTCCTATAGAGTTCATAAACTAATTCCAACAAATTTGTAGTTTATATTAATCGTCATCAATTTGTATTTTTTGCATGAAATAAAAGTACAGTTCGTAAAAAACTTAAGGAATATATTATTTTAATCGTAATTTTGTACTATTTTAATTAAAAAATAAAGAGATGTCAAAACGGGCCCAAGTTTTAATGAAAAATTGCCTATACAGCGCGCCTTAATGAATGCTAGTATAGACTAGTAATTGGGTTTCCAATTGAAAATGTGTTGACAAAAGTCAAAATATGATATTTTTTTTTTACTGAAAAATGGAATCCCCTTAAGTTGTATCATTTATATTGAAATAAAAAGAAACCTATTTTGATGTGATGTTGTTTTGCTGAATGCTTGTTTAAACAGTTACCTGTTATTCATACACCAATGCACAAAATAAGAAATACATCTAAAACAAAAACAACGTCTTTAACGTCGACTTAGTTATATTATTTCAAGTGTTCTAAAGTAAAAAAAACCCATACATAATTTATATTATTAAAGAAAGGGTTATAGCTTTTCCTCCAGCCTATTTTTTTGCAAAATACTCATAACTAATTTGTTCAAAAGTTGACATCGACCAGGCTTTTTTTTTTACTGGATTTTCATGATATACCTAATAAATATATAAGAAAACATATATCCAAATTTATAGGGTTCCAATTGATAATGTGTTGGGTTTTATTTTGTACTCTGAATTTTCGTTTTATGAAATGCGCCAGTGTGTAAACAACACACATTTTTTTATTTCGTACTATGAAATTCTAAGTATTTAAAACACCTTGAAGTATTATGTGCAAAAACACAATATTTTTCATTGTTTTTGGTGTCTTGTTTTTTTGGTTCTAGTATCGATATGTGAATAACAAATGAGTAACACGGCACACAAAACACTTCTCAAAATCAATATATACAACCACATAACATCGGTTTTACAAATTTAGAATTTAGCGTACGATAATGTGTTGGAAAATAATTTAAAATCAACATGTTTTACAATTCAGAAATCATGCAGAATCAGTTATTGTACCCAAAATAATTATTGTTCTTATATATAAATCGCATTTAAGCCAATTTTAATATTACCAATGTGGTTGGCCAGCCAGGATATTTTTTCCCACAACTCTAGCAGGGTTTTTTTTTTCATAGTGTTTTTGTACAATGTGATCTCAATCTTCCACACTTTTTTTTTGTTTTTACCTCCCTCCTAACTATTAACCAGAACGACGATAATAAGGATAGTGTAATCTCCAAGGGTACTTCAGTAACTAACATTAGCAACCGTTTATCTGCAATTATTTTCTTACACGTTCAAAAGACTGTAAACATTTTTTAGACACTCATATTGAGCTTGCGTTATAATAAAACAACCAATGTGTATCATTTTTGGGTTTTATCATACAATGACATTTCAAGGTCATTGTAATTTTTCCCCCCTTCGGTAAAAGGATTAAGAGAAGGGTGGTTTTAGAATCTCTAATAGCAATCTGTATATTAATTATTTAAGTATACATGTTAAGCTGTTTTTTTGTTTTAGTAAAATATAATTTGATTTAACATTGAAGTTTATAACGTAAATCAAAAGAGCCGTAGCCTATTGAAATTTCATTTGGTTAAACTAAGTTTCACTAGGTTAAATACTTACTTAATCAAAATTATAAGAAACCCGACAATGTATAATATATTTTCTTAAATTCCATCAAAATGTTAAGAAACTGTACGACCGATACATGGGAAAAAATAGGACTTATTAGCTTTGTAATAGGTATTATTAGGGATTAGTCTATTTTTTTTTATTCCTTCGAACAAGTACAGTGTCCAATTATTAAGACATATAATAATTACAAGCTGTCCGGACCCGGCGTTGCCCGAGATTTAGTCTGCCGGGGCAGAGTAAAACAATTTCCATCCCCACCCCCCCCCCTCATCTCTAATCACTAATCTCCTATCTCTTATAAAATAACAGCTTGACAGCGTTTTTGTGACACTTTTTTCGGTTTAATGTCCTCCTCTTACTCAAGGGTCTCAGCCCCGGTCCCAGATCCCGTTCCAACAGTTAAAGCTTGCCCAGAATCGTGGTACATACATCCGGCGTGTTCCTTTAATCATCACCTACCATTTGCTCGAGTACCGTGGCTAACACGGTTACAAACCAATTGTTTATTTTGGGTTACAAAAGTTTTCAGTCCCTTTCGGCCCCTAACTCTTCTCTTATCACTAATATCTTATAATTTATTTCTTATCTCTTATTTCTAATTATTTATCTCTAATCTCTTATCATTTAGCACCTATCTCTTATCATTTATCTCTAATCTCTCATAATTTATCTCTTACCAATTATCTCTTTTCTTTTATCTCTTATCAATTATGTCTTAGAATTTATCTTTTATCACTTATCATTTATTTCTGGTATCTAATCATTTTTCTCTTATCATTTTTTGAGTTAGGGGCCGAAAGGGACTGAAAATGATGTGACCCCTCTTTTAAGGTGAGCTTTTTGCACTGAATAACATGGAATATAATTTTTTTTTTTAAGTCATTATTTTTTTACTTAACTGTCAAAACCTTCAATTTTTTACTTATCGAAAAAATGAAAACGGGGGGCTTATTTGGAGGTCCCCCAGATGTTCAATCACCTATTACTTACCTTTCATGCTGTAACACCCTGTACATAATTATTATAACTTTTGAACTCTTATAACGTAAAAAATAGTCGTTCAAAGCTGGTTATCAATTGTAAATGTCAAAATAAGGTGGAAACCTGTGTTAAATAAAAACAACAGCTGTTGCCGTCGTTTACCGTATCGTACACAAGCATACACGTTATGTAAATAAAACTACCGGAGAAAACGTTACCCCTTCCCCTCTCCGCCTCGTGTGAGAAAGTTCTTCAAAGTCGACAAACGACGGATAATATCGTTTCTTGTTGGATACGCGACACGTAGCGTAGGCGCGACATTGTCGATTTCAACGATTTTTTACCGTTGTACATAATAATATAAAAAAATCCTTTTTAGCTTTACCGCGTATCGAAAATGAAGTGTTTGTTATTAGTTTTCTCGGCTATGTACGTGTTGTCCATGTGTGCGTTGTGGCGTTGTGTTGCTGCTAAAAACCACTCGGACACGATGAACGAGTTGCTGTCTTATCGCTCGTGGCTGGCGATGGCCAAGCCGGAGGAAAACCTTGTGAACATCGTAGACTACACGAGGGACGCCAAAGGGATCGAAGTGACAATTGACACGTTGATAGCGACCCCGGTGACCGAGAAGAACCAGTCGGACAAAATCCGCCTAGCGCATCAGTTCCTGAGCTGTTCGTACGCCAGAGTGCTGACGGACTACTGCGACCACGAGAGCGCCATAGGGCCTCAGTGCCGGAAAGTGATCATGGCCGCGAAATCGTTCGACTGTCTTGTGGACTACTTGCGGGTAGTCGAGTCTAAACAACCGATGATTGCACGCATGATTGGCGCCCTTTCGTCCCTGCATAGTTTGTCGCCCGAAACGCCGTTCCAAATAGGATTGTACAACATTTTGTTGACATTACAAGATTACTGCCAGCCAAAGACCATCGCCAGACCGGCCGAAAACGAAAAACGTAAAACCTGGGATATCGTCGACGCCGAATGCAAAAACATCGAACAGCACGCCAGAGACATGGCAGATAGGTCAAACGGTTTCTACAAAATGTTTTGCCGGCCCCGTTCCGTTTGGACACGACACGAGAACGGCGATACCAACGCTTTGCTCATCGGTAGGGAATTAGGCGATCGCGCCGACAAAAAAAAAGCCGACCTAGAATTCTTGGGCTGCGATAGAGATACTTACGCTGCGCATATAATAAAAAACAAATTAAATCTTATAACCCAAACGTTTGACCGATCGTACGACAATTCCGGTTTTAAATACGAATCGGACTCGAACACCACTTCTATAATACCGTACGACGAAGAAAGTCGGAAAGTAAAGAAAAAAAAGGGGTTCGGATGTTTCTAGTGTAATAAGGAATAAAAATATTCAAAATGTATCACACAGACCTTCTACGACCGAAATTGTAATGAAAATGATTTTTTTATATTTACATATTTTGAAAATATATTGTTATTTAAATAAAACCGTACCTAGTTTTTATTTTTTATTCTTACGGTACCTTTACATTTATATCAGTTTCCATATCTTAAGTGGACGTCATACCCGCAAAATAATTGCACGAAAATAGTACTTTTGTATTTCCAACGGCATAAAGACGTGTACGACGCGTGCAGGGATAGACGAAAATAAACTGTTTAAAATATGACAACTTTAACTACCTATGTTTTGTTGCGGTTAGAACTTAGATTTAAAAAAAAAAAACATTTTAATTTAAAAATACATACAGGTGAGTTAATAAAAATATGTCCTTTCTTTATGCCATATTGTTCCATCTACAAACCAATACTATCTGAAAGTGTTTTACAACAAAACATAGAAAAAGTTCTCACCTTCAACTTTCATAACAGGGTTTTTTTTACTCTCAACCAATTGGCGTTGTGCAATTGGAAGATACCACAATCACTGTTGGACAATTTGTAGATTCGGTTTTTCATCCACTGTTCTCGTAATTTTTCACAGAATAAACAGAAGGGAACCTTTGTTCTTGTGTACAATAAGTAAAACGATTATAAAAAAAAAAAGGTATACTTGTTCAGGTAAAGGTACAGGCAAAAATTTAAGTTGAATTTACACGACGGTTAATAGGGTTTCCAACTTTCAAATTGTGTAATTTAGGACAATATTTATCATAAAAGAGTTATATTATTCTTTTTATTGAGTATACTTACCTATTTTAAATACGTTTTCCTGGGATTATGGGGGGGGGGGTGGATCCAAATAACAATTATCCGGCCTTGAACCAACAGAATATAATGAATAGAATATTATAATATCTACTTTTAACAAAACATTATCTTATACATTTTACTTATATCAACTTTATTGAATCTTATTTATACTTTTGACTCGAGGATTCAATCCGGATTATTATCATTTATCATGTAAATAAACAGTAAAATATTTATAAATAACAATGTCATATGAAAAAAATTATGAGAATCGACAGTATTATAATATATGTATAACAATTAGATGTTTGCCGCTCTAATTAAATTTTAAATAATATACTTATATACATCGGATACAGAATTTGGTCTATGAGAAAATTCAACAAATCTGATACAAGTGATTAAGCTGAATAATTGATCAAATTAAAAATAAATAATTTTTAAGTTCAAAATCACAAATCAAATTTGTTAAGGGTTAAAATTGAAAAAAGTGCACTGTCGGATCTCAAGTAGACTTCATAACGAATTTAAATCTGTTTTAAAATTACTTATCGGATTACTAAAAAGAAACCTATTTAGATGTGTGTTGTTTATTGTATGCTTGTTTTTACCTCCCTCCTAACTTGGTTTTTTTTATAGCAAGTTCTGATTTTCAAATAGCGACATTACAACTGTTTAGAGCTATAATTTACATTACAATTATATATTTGTATTATACATTGACTAATTCATCATGAAATAATATATTAATGTAGCGAGCGAGGATGTAGTAGAGAGCTAGCAAATAAAATTTAACCAGGACGACGATAATAAGGATAGTTTAATATCTAAATTCAGAATTTCAGAATTAATCTTCAAAGAGTCAATCGGATTCGTCACCATTCACCAAGCATAAATTATATTCTTGGCAATGACTAATGGCTATTTTGACAACAGTTATATTGTGTTTTCCATAATTTTGAAACTTTTTACATATTTTCTTTTTGTATCCATTAGTTTACAATAAAGAGAATTTTGAAATGATTTACTTGCCAAATGAGTTCTTGCCTAGTCGATACTCGTAAACAATTTTTTTTTTACTATAGAAAAACAATTGTGTGATTTGATGTGCGTTGCCATTTTCCACTCTGTTTACACAAATGAAAATATAGATAGCAAAACGGTTGCTACCTACAATTTTTTGTAGCTTGCGTTATAATAAAACGACTTATGTGTATCATTTTTGGTTTTTATCATACAGTAATATTTTAAGGCCATTGTAATTTTTCCCCCTTCGGTAAAAGGATTTAGGGAAGGGTGATAAATTAGTTTCTTTTTTAATATAGATATTCTCGTTTGAATGAATAGGTTTTGGTTAAAAGTCGGTTTTGTTGATATATCTAATAGCTTCGTTTTAATTAACAACTGTGGAAAATTCATGTTTTCCAGTTTTTATTTACTCTATAACATAAACTTACTTAACTAAAGTATAAAAAACCCAAAAATTAAAAATGTATTTTCTTAAATTCCATCAAAATGTTAAGACTGTACGACCATTACAGGAAAAACATTTTTCAGTCGAGTCTGCCACCACGAAAGAGCATTTATTATGTCTCGTTGTTGTACCGAATACATTTAGAGTAGTGGTGGAATTATAGATAATTATATAGTATATTAACAAGCAGTAGCAAGCTAGTATCTAAGGTGGCTAGTAAACATATCAAGTTTCTGGCTAATATGTTGGTGTTTAATATCTGGCTTAAGACAATTAATAAAAATATGACCTCCTAAATTATTAAATTAATTTTAGTTCAGTTCTAGTTCGAAGGTTGTGAACACAACATAATATATACCCCCAACCCCAATCCCACACACATCCCCAATCCCATCACCGTGTCCATAACGCTAAGACATGAAAATGTAAAAAAAAAAGAACTAATTAGTTATACTAGGTATTAGTCTATTTGTATTCCTTTAAACAACAGTGTCCAATTATAACATATAAATAACTATTATAACATTTAAACTCTTATAACGCATCATTCTTGAGGAAGGGCCACCCGAATGATATTTTACTTGTACTTGGGAATGTCAAAAATCAGGTCGAAACCTGTGTTAAAAAAAAAAAAAACCCAATAACAACTGTTGCCATCGATAACCGTACGTAAATAAAACTACCAGGGAAAACGTTACCCCCCTCCCCGCCTCGTGCGAAAGTTCTTCAGAGTCGACCAACGACGGATAGTATATCGTTTCTTGTTGGATACGCGACACGTAGGCGAGACACTGTCACTATTGTCGATATCAACAATTTTTTACCGTTATACATAGTATAAAAAATTCGCATTTAGTTTTACCGCGTATCGAAAATGAAGTGTTTGGTATTATTTTTCTCGGCCACGTACGCGTTGTCTACGTGTGCGTTGTGGTGTTGTGTTGCCGCTGAAAACCACTCGGACACGATGAACGAGTTGCTGTCTTATCGCTCGTGGCTGGCGATGGCCAAGCCGGAGGAAAACATTGTGAGCATTTTCGACCACACGGGGGACGGCCAAGAGATGGAAGTGACTTTTGACACGTTCATAGCCTGCCCGGTGACCGAGCAGAACCAGCGGGAAAAAATCCGGCAAGCCCATCAGTTCCTGAGCTGTTCGTACGCCAGAGTGCTGACCGGCTACTGCGACCTCGAGGGCGCCATAGGGCTTCAGTGCAGGGGATTAGCGGTGTCGCCCGCCAAAGCGTTCGACTGTCTTGTGGATTACACGCGGGTAGTCGAGTCTAAGCAACCGATGATCGCCCGCATGATTGGCGCCCTCGCTGCCCTGCAAGACTTGTCGCCCGAAGCGTCGTTCCAAATGGGATTGTTCAACGTTTTGTTGACATTGCAGAACCACTGCCTGCCAGCGACCGCCGGCAGACCGGTCCACGACCCAGAGGAAACCTATCGAATCGTCAACCGAGATTGCACCGACATCGAAGAGCACGCCAAAGCCATGGCGACTCGGTCAAACGATTTCTACAACGCATTTTGCCGGCCCATTTACATTTGGACCCGAGACGAGGACGGCCATACAAACGCAGTGCGACGCGGTATAGAATTAGCCAAACGCGGCGAAGCCGTGCGTACAATAGAAAAAGAATTAAACGATATAACCAAAAAGTTTAACCACTCGCACGACACCGATTCCGGCTTTAAATACAAATCGCACTCGAACACCACCACGTTTCGAAAGAAACAAGCGAGGTGCTTATTGTTTGATTGTTAATGTATTAAAATATTTATCATGTATTTCACACGTTATACGACCGAAATTGTAATAATAACGATTATTTTTTTTGTTTACATAATTGGAAAATATATTGTTATTTAAATAAAATCGTACCTAGTTTTTATTTTTTATTCTTACGGTACCTTTACATTTATATCAGTTTCCATATCTTAAGTGGACGTCGTACCCGCAAAATAATTGCACGAAAATAGTACTTTTGTATTTCCAACGGCATAAAGACGTGTACAACGCGTGCAGGGATAGACGAAAATAAATTGTTTGAAAGATGACAACTTTAACTACCTACCTATGTTTTGTTGCGGTTAGATTTAAAAAAAAAAAAAACATTTTAATTAAAAAATACATACAGGTGAGTTAATAAAAATATGTCCTTTCTTTATGCCGTAATGTTACATCTACAAACCAATATACTATCTGAAAGTGGTTTACAACAAAACATAGAAAAAGTTCTCAACTTCAACTTTCATAACAGGGTTTTTTTTACTCTAAACCAATATTTATCATGTCCAATGGGTCAAAACCCCTGTTTAGCGGGTTATTATCACCCTTTATTAGTAATTAATTTGTATTTGTTGAAAAATACAGAATTCAGATTTCAAGGTATAATAAAATAATTATTATCAAGTATGAATTAATTAATGTTTACATAATACACTATAATGATTACTAAATACTAAAATTAAATAATTATATAGCCTACATAGTAAAACTTATAACTAAAAAATGTGCCTAAGGGTTTGCTCTGTAGTCTGTAGAGAGTAGAAACTAGAACTATTTATAATTCGCTATTGTTTATTTCTAAATATCTAATTAAACAGTCAACTAGAATGAAATAAATAATCGTCCGGAATTGGTAAGTAAATATGTAATATATTTACAATTTCTATACAATTATATACCATACTAAATTTAATTTATGTTAGTTTAAAACGTTTTAAATAAAAAATAAAAACAATGTTTTTAACTTGTTTAAAACATAATTTTATAGTTATATTAAAAACAGTAAAAAAAAAAAAAAACTGTTTTTTTGCAACTCTGTATTGGTAGGTATTAGTCTACTTTTATACCTTTGATCAACAGTGTTCATATTTAAAACATATCACAACTATTATAACTTTTGTGAACTCTTATAACCTAAAAAAATAGTAATCGTTCAAAGTTGTCTATCGATTTTTCGAGTAAGGGCCTGCCGAATGATAGATATTTTGCTTGCACTTGGAAATGTCAAAACCAGGCCGAAGCCTGTGTTAAAAAAACAACAACTGATGCCATCATTGAAAACGTTACCCTTCTCCGCTCCGCCTCGTGTGTGACAGTTCTTCAAAGTCGACAAACGACGGACAATATCGTTTCTTGTCAGATACGGAGGCGACACGTAGGCGTAATATTGTCACTATTGTCGATTTCAACCTTTTTTTTTACCGTTATACGTAGTGTAAAAAATTCGCGTTTAGTTTTACCGCGTATCGAAAATGAAGTGTTTGTTGTTGTTTTTCCGGGCCGTGTACGCGTTGTCCGTGTGTGCGTTGTCGCGTTGCGTTGCCGCTAAAAACCACTCGGACGCGATGAACGAGCTGCTGTCGTATCCCGTATGGAAGGCGATGGCCAAGCCGGAGGAAAACCTCGTGAACATCGTAGACCACACGGGGGACGGCCAAGAGACGGAAGTGACTTTTGACACGTTCATAGCCTGCCCGGTGACCGAGCACAACCAGCGGGAAAAAATCCACCAAGCCCATCAGTTCCTGTGCTGCGCGTACGCCAGACTGCTGACCGGCTACTGCCGCCTCGAGAGCGCCATAGGGCTACAGTGCAGGGAATCGTTGGCGCCGGCCGCGACAGCGTTCGAATGTCTTGTGGATTACACGCGGGTGGTCAAGTCCAAACGACCGATGATCGCCCGCATGATTGGCGCCCTCGCCGCCCTGCAAAACTTGTCGCCCGAAACGTCGTTCCAAATGGGACTGTACAACATTCTGTTGACGTCGCAGAACTACTGCCCGCCGCCAACGACCGCCGGCAGACCGGTCCACGACCAGGACGAAACCAGGCGAATCGTCAACCGAGACTGCAGCAACATCGAAAAGCACGCGGCTCACATGGCGACTCGGTCGAACGAATTCTACAACGCATTTTGCCGGCCCCTTTCCAGCTGGACCGCCGGAGACCAGAACGACCGTGTAGGATCTTTGCACTTGGGCAAGAAATTCGCCAGACGCGGCGAAACTGTGCGCACAATAAAAAAACGATTAAACGAAATAACCGAAAAGTTTAACCACTCGCACGACACCGGTTCCGGGTTTCAGTACAAACCGCACCCGAACACCACCACTATTCGAAAGAAAAAAGCGCGGTTCTTATGCTTTAAGGGCGACGTCAAGGCGTAATAACGTTTATAATGTATTTCACGCCTTGAAATTGTAATAATAACGATTAGTTTTTTTGCTTACATATTTTGCAAATATATTGTTGTTTAAATAAAACCGTACCTAATTTTTATTTTTTATTCTTACGGTACCTATACATTTATATCAGTTTCCATATCTTCAGTGGACGTCATACCCGCAAAATAATTGCACGAAAATAGTACTTTTGTATTTCCAACGGCATAAAGACGTGTACGACGCGTGCAGGGATAGACGAAAATAAACTGTTTGAAATATGACAACTTTAACTGCCTATGTTTTGTTGCGGTTAGATTTAAAAAAAAACATTTTAATTAAAAAATACATACAGGTGAGTTAATAAAAATATGTCCTTTCTTTATGCCGTATTGTTCCATCTACAAACCAATATACTATCTGAAAATGGTTTACAACAAAACATAGAAAAAGTTCTCACCTTCAAGTTGAAGGCTTCAACTTTCATAACAGGGTTTTTTTTATTCCATCACCACTATTCGAAAGAAAAAAGCAAGGTTCTTATGGTTTAATTGTTAAGGTATAAAAATATTTATTATGTATTTCACACCTTGAAATTGTAGTAATAACGATTAGTTTTTTTGCTTACATATTTTGCAAATATATTGTTATTTAAATAAAATCGTAGTTTTTTAGTAGACTGAAGTAGGACTGAAGGAGGTGAATTTCACTGGTAAACGGAAGTGAACATTTCGGATATACTATGTCCAATGATACATATTAGGGGTGTATGGTAAGTGATATTGATGTGACAGATGTGATTAATTTGTGACAGCTTGTGAAGAAATGACAATGTAAAAAATATACTTGAAAAATACGCTGAACCGATTTTGGCGGTACTTCAGCTGTATTTGCCATAAGACGGACTATAATCTATTTCAATACAATTTTGTAAAATCGTCAACCACGTAACGCGACAAGGGTTAAGTGTAAAGTTTTTTTTTTTAATAATTTTATTATTATTACGATGTAAAAATTATTATTGTAATAGTTGTATATTACACGAGACAATTTTTTTTCATACGAGTAAGGTTAAATAAAAATGAATAAGTAGAATAGAATAGAAAATGAGAACTATTATAGTTCAACTATACTAGTAGTAGTACCTACAATATTTTATAATATAGATATTATACATTATACGGATCGTAACTTAAATTGAATAGGTAATCGTTTAATAAAAAAAATATATAAATGAAATTTTAATAAATAGATTACAAAGTTAGAAAATTTTAAAAATCTGATACAAGTGATTAAGCTAAATAATTGATCAAATTAAAAATGTATAATTTTTAAGTACAAAATTACAAATCAAATTTGTAAAGGGTTGAAATTGAAAAAAGTGCACTGTCGGATCTCAAGTAGACTTCTTCTCGTAGATCTAATTCTGTATCCGATGTATGTAAATATACAGTTAAAATTTAATTACAGTGGTAAACCTCCAATTGTTATACATGGTATATTATAATACTGTCGATTCTTATAATTGTTTTTCATATGACATTGTTGTTTATAAGTATTTAAATTTGTATATTTTACTGTTTATTTACACGATAAATAATAATAGTCGCAGTTGAATCCTAGTCAAAAGTATAAATAAGATTCAATAAAGTCGATATAAGTAAAATGTATAAGATTATGTTTTGTTAAAAGTATATATTATAATATTCTATTCATTATATTCTGTTGGTTCAAGGCCGGATAATTGTTATTTGGACTCAGCCCCCCCATAATCCCTGGAAAACTTTTTTAATATCTCATTAAACCCAGTGACAGATATAAGCGTTGAATTTCAATCGGAACATCATTCAGATGTCTCCAGAATTCTTCAGGATTTTGTACAGCAACGTAGGAAGAAGACAGAACCGACGGGAGAGCCGAAAAGTGATTACTATTATTTACTGTGTGAGTATATGTAAACATATTTTTTTTTGTTTTAAATTAATCATATTGAATATTATTATTTGAATGTGGAAATATTTTACAACACTGCTTTTGTTTATTATGCTTTGCTCAAAAAGTGACTATAGAAATATTCTTGAAAGATTACTACGTTTTACACGCTGATATCGGAAGTAAAAAATACATAAATCATATTATATGCTAATTTCCTATAAGACTTTAGACTTATAAAACATGTCTCTGTTTTACCAAAAATGAATTATTATAAATTAAATTAATGAATTATACAAGTATAGGAACATTAAACTGGTGTAGTTCCGATAGTAACGTCTCGGAAAAATCGAATAATCCACTCGACGTATGAATTTTAAATATATTTTCCATGTCAATTTAAAAAAAAAGTAATATAATATATTATAAAAACGTACCGAACAATATAATATCTATATATATATTGTAGTGGGATTACTAATCACACGTAACTATAATATATTTTTAAAAAATATAATATAATAATTTGAAAACACAAACAAATAAAAATTTAACAAAATTTAAATACAACATTAAATAATAATATAGGTAAATCTTAGGGCAAACAATTTTTTTTTTTTTTCATTTATTAAGTTCTTTAATGAAATACAACATTTTATTGCAACAGCATTGAATAGATGGATTATTATAATTTCTGGATTTATTTATGATAATATTATATTAAATCTATCGCTATACGAATATGGTGTGCGTGCGCGTCATTAGGTTTAGTGGAAATTTTGTTAATTGTTGTAAAATAAACATCTTTCTTCCGGTACGTAGTTAATTGACTAAAATATATTTTCATATAGAATATTTATAAAGCATTATATAACATTTCTATATAACTGATAAAATATATTTTTTTTTCTAGTGTTCACATAAATATATATATATATATATATTTTTTTTTTTACAGTCCCTTTTGTTAAAAAATATCGTAATAGTTTTAAAGATTATTTTCAAAAAAATGGAATATTGACGATATTAAAAACGATTATCGTGGAATTTAAAAAGCTTTGCACAATTATTATTTCGACTTTCCCAAAGCGAGGGCGAGGCCGACCAGGGCACCCAAACCCAACACTACTCCGCCTGCAATGGCCATTCCTTTGTGAGCATCTGAAAACCGATTGAATTAAATTACATTATTTAAACTTGCACGGTAACGGTAACAGTAAAAAAAACGTAATTTCAAACAATTCATACCGGCTTCCATTTTCTTTTGAATAGTCGACAACAGCGTTTTGGCTTGCTGGTTTTCGGGCTGCATATGTAAAAACGCTTTGATAAACTGCAAAGCCGTACCGTATTCCTAGGGAAAAAATATAATATAACGTAATCCCCTCGTCGTAAATGCCGACAAAGCGTACGTGTATTGTGTACTTTGAATTTTAACCGACAAACTGTACTTACTTTAATCCTCGAGTTTCCCAACGCTAAGTAATAGAGGTAATTCCTTTTGGCGTCCTCGTCGTTGGCTTCGTGCTTGATCAATTGTTCCAACAGTATCAATCCTTTTCTAATGTCCGCAGGGTAATTGCTTCTCACCAAGCACCACGCGTAATGAAATTTAGTATCTTGCGACACGGTGCCGGTCGAAAGCTGAGTGTGATATTCTTTTTCGAATTTCTGAAACAAAATATATGCAATCGGTTACGTTCTTTGAGTAGACGGAAATTTTTACAACTGTATTTTTCCGTCGTGTTATTTACGCGGTAAACGTGATTTCGGTGTAATCATTTGTAATCTAATTCTCGACTCAACAAATATTTACTTATTTTAAACACGGTTGTTTTTTATTCTTTTAAAAACATATGTTAGTGAGAAAACAAAGGACTTTGTTTGCGTGTACAATTTGATAGTAACATCATTCTGCACACAATATGCTTTGTTAGCAATAAATAAAATACACATAACTTAAAAAGCTTGAAACGTAATATTTGCAAAAACCCATTTCTGTCGAACCTACATTGGTCCTTTTCGGTATAAATCCGAGAATTAATAACGCGTTCGTTTTTACCCTTTCAGTCAATGCTTTTCTCTACTAGACAAATTTTCATCGACGTCATTTCGAATAAAAACTATACAATCAAAAATCACTATATTGTGATCAAACGAAATCTTGAGATTGAAATGGTCAATAATCCAACAAGTTGGATCATATTTGTATCTCTATTAGCATGGATAAAAGAAAAATCAAATCCAATTTTATTTAGATGTTTACTCAACGCTCTCACCGTGTACCTATGATTCATCGGTCCAAACAGATTTAGTTTAGGTACATATTGTGTCGAGTGTAATTTATTTTCACAATAGATAAGACCAGAGTGTAGTCAGTAATGACTTTGTACGAGAATAAATACTAATTAATGTTACTAATAACTAACCTTTAGATCTTCGTGATTAACAATGTCGTTTGTAATGTCTTCAACGTCCATTTTTAACGGCTCCGATTTGACTGTTTTGTGAATATTTTTAAATTATTGACAGTACAACAAATTTGCGGTGATGAAATCAATGACGTTTAGGCCAGAATGCGTCCAACGATAAAAAATGTTTACTTTTTAATGTTCAACGCACAAACGAGCAACAAAGCAACACAGATTTAACTAAAGGACTTGTTTATGAACTTGAACAAAAATCTGCCAGGAATATAAATTCTAACATCGACCGACCACTATCACAACCGCGGCCATGACTGTATCACGGAATAACCAGAAGGGAAACCCAGGCCGGCACTGATAAGACGTGTCCGACATTTTGTTTTTCCGGGTAAACATACAATCGGAAACACGACAAAAGGTCGCCCGACAAAACGTCGCCGGACAAAAAATCGACAAAACGTCGCCGGATAAAAAATCGACAAAACGCCGCCGGACAAAACGCCACCCCTAAAAAAACCGCCTCTCAGTAGTGCCAACACTAACAATACTTGTATACAATATACGATTATTAATGGTGTTAGTTGTGCTGCCAGCATGACATATTATTAAGGAGTAATTATTAGCTAACGACTCAAACGAGGCTGTTTTTAAAAAATATTTCCAGATGGCATTTTGAAAGAGACAAAAAGTCCGAACGTATATTTTTCACCACCAAAAAAACGATATTTTATTATCTCTAGAAAACTGTTTACCTATTATTGAACTGTTATCTTTGTTTATTTTATAAATGCGTGTAGGTATCACCTATAATCTATATATTTTTTAGTACGTATTGCTAAGTGTATAGGTACAAAATGGAAGTTAATGTTTTAAAGTTGCCGCGCCGGATGAATTACCTGCCAAATATACCTTCTTAGGTACGAAAGTATACACAGCCCTGTTTTACTTCGTATATTTGTTATTCTTTATTAGTATTAAGTAAAATTATATTATTATTTATTAAAAAATGGTCTTAACAATGGCGGTTCTAAAAAAAAATATGAAATAACATTTAACCACTTTTTGTATCCATTGCATTTTTTTTTATAAATATATTCATTTAAAAGTATTCCCATTTTTGCGTATATATTAGTTTTAAAATTTTAACATAAGAACATTGAGAAAATTAAAAAGTAAAGGGAAAAAAAATGACTAATTAGTTCTTGTGCGTGTACATTTTGTTTTTGTTAAGTCAGTCGGCCGAATGGACTTGGGAACAATGACTTCGCTACACCCTTGGCCAGAAATTAAGTTAATTTGTTGTGTGTGAATTTTATTTTGTATTTTGTTTAGTTAACTGTTTGTTGCACCGGTGAGGCAATTCTAGTTTTAGTACTAATGATAACCGAAAAAGGAACTTTTTTAAATTATTTAAGTTTTCAAATTATCAACATTATACATACATTACACATTTGACACTACAGTAACTCTTTGGTATTACTAGGCAACCCCATTCATCCCTTTTGAGCTACTATATACACAAAAATTTAAGTAGGTATGTATGTTGTACATAGTATACAGAACGTGCAAAGAAGTACCCAAAAATGATTGGTGTTTGTTTGAATAAAAGTTTAATATTGTTATTAGGTAGCGCAGCATTTTTATTTTATTTAATAGATAAATCAACAAATTATTTTTGAAATAATAATATGTAGAGTTTAGAAATTAAGCCCTCGAAAATATTTGTTTGTAGTGATGAGTTTTTAATATTCAGTTGTCACTGGGTGTTAGGTACATTCTGTATAACTTATCTTCTTATAAACAAAACAAAAATTTAAAGCCACCGCTGACTGAGGCGTCCAATCGAATGGACAACAGAAGGGTTATGGGGTGGCGAAGGAAGGTGTTTGTTTTGACTAGAAACCTAATAAATCTCCAAAAATAGTCTGTAACCGTTGCGAATTTAATACATACAGAAATAATGGGATATTGACGATTTATAATATTATTGAAAATAATTTTCGTTTAAGTATTTCAATGTACACCGATAATTTTCTTTAAAAAAAACTCTATTATTAACATTTAAAGCGACGGAATTCCGTCTTTTTACATAAAATCTTGTAAGCAATATGTCTGTCATTCTTTGATTATTCTGAGGATGTCTCCGGCGGGTATAGGTTGTCCAAGAAAAAATCCGAATTTCAGTTATTTGGACATAATAATGTCCGTAACCAATGGTTGTCCAAAGTACATCCCATTCTATGCCTACGTATTTTATTTGTGGTTTACTACTATATATCCATATCATGACAATATGACACCAAATACCAGTGCCCCCACAAGCGAAGGTATCAGAGAGGTCTGGGGCCCTTATGTACAGGCCGTATTGGCGCATAGGCACTGTGCCTAGGGCCTATGAAAATGTGTGGCTACTATTTTTTAGTAATCCTTTATGTTTTTTTAAATTATTATTATAAGTTAATGTACAATATGTATACGTTAGCACAACACGTAAAATATTATGTATATAAGAATTTACAGACAAAAACAATTTATTACTCGTATTACCGCCAAAATATATTTCAAAAATGATTTTTAATTTGTTAAAATTCCATAATATCAAAAGAAAAACAAGTAATTCAAAGAATTACATTTTTTTTAAAAACATAGTGTACAAGATTATCAAAGATTATTTTGGGAAGTTGACGCTCTTGCTTCTGGACCCACTTCTAGAACCTCTGCTCTAATGGAGGATTTTACACAGCAAAATTGGCCGTTTTCGGTGTGTCACTGTGATATATCAACTCACAAATTTGGAATACATTATATCCAATGTGTTATTTCATCTACAACTAAAGCTGTCTAATAATTGTAGGTAGGGATATAATATCTCAGTTTAGGACATATGATATAGCTTCATTATATAAACACTATTATTATTGAAATTCATATTTTTATTTATTCCATTTTTATTAAGCATGACCTACATGATAATAATGACCCAGATACAGGGGCGACATTTCAGTTTTTCTTAGGGTGGGGCAACATTTTTACAAATATAAATATTTTTTCCAAAACACTTAGATTCAAAACAGTAATAATACAAGTATTATAAATCTTCATACCTATTATACTTGGTAGTCAGTTCAGACGGTTTATTATAGGGTAAGTTAATGTAGGTAGTTGCATAAAAAACAGATAATTTACGGCCTTATGTATCGAAAATTTGACCAGCCCATAAAAATTGACGCCACTGCCCAGATAGATTGATATATTTTTATTGATATTGATAAAACTATAACGATGTATCTAAATATCGATAAGTATAAAATATAATGTTATTAACATTATATTGCAACTGGATGATTGTATCGATATTAAATAATCAATAAACTCGAACTGTACGTACGCCCATTCCTAGTGCAGCCTGCATGAGATGATATCGATTCTTAATAAAAATATCGATATTTAAATATAGTTGATCATCTTGTTGTTGCGCTACCTTATAAGTATCCAAAAATATACATTGCCCAGTTAAGGGTTAAAAACGATTCATTGATTCGAACAAGACGGAAGACTCAAAATTAGTTGATCACCTATTTTTGATTCAGTTGACCGTCGAGTCAACGCCGGAGATCGTACAATATTACTCATGTTACTTTGGTACTAACGGTTATTAACTTAATGAAATGTAATGAGGTAACATATTTTAGACGTATATCAATGATAATTATTAATTTTCATAATTTTCTCAAACCAAATTATAATATGTATCATGAAAAATTAATTTACATTATATTTCAGTATTATTTAGTCCTACAACTTTACAGGTTGAATTCTAAAATATTGCAATTATATAAAAAAAAATTGTATTTAATCATCAGTACGAGAAGTATAATAAATGACGAAAACCGAATGCAATGTAGGTGACCTAGTACTTTTAGGGGTAAAAATGTATTCTGTTGTATAAAATATATATATTTTATAAGTTTTTAGACTTCTTGCGATATAAATTACCATAAAAGTTGTAAATAAATGCAAAAAGTGTTGAGAGGGAGCCCAATTGATGAACCCGGTATCACTCACTCCTGGGAACCGATCACGCTCGACCGCACCACATATAGTTTTTATAATGCGTTACATTTTTTCTTGGCTAGGTCCCCTCGCCAACCCGCGATAAGGAACTTCGTTCCAAAAATAATAGGAGATTTAAATCTAACAGATGCACATCATATTATTTATGTAATCAAATCTAAATATACTTAAATTACTTAGATTAACTATTGTTAGTTTTAAATATAGATATAAAAAACATTTATTTTCGGTGGAAATATATACTATACAGGGTGATCCAACTAACGTAAGACACTCATTTTCTCTGAAAGTATGAATATTTTGCGAATTTTTTTTTCCCTAAAATTTTAGGTACATATTTAGCTACATTTTTCAATATTTAGAAAAATTTTATCTTCAACCCTTATACGTTAAATAAGTACGAACCTCGTTTTTTCAAATGGGAACATATGTTTTAAATTCCATAAATATAAAGACAAAAAATCTAAAAAAATGTTAGCGTTTGAATTTTTAATTTTCATCCATTTGTTCGCTGTTTATGACTTTGTAAAGATTTGAATTTTTGTCTATATTTCTTAATAATTTCATTCGATTCGACAAAGACAAGTAGTTTTATTACGACGGTCATCACATCAAATATAATAATAATTTGATGTTAACGCATTCCGTATCATAATCAGATATAATAAATAACCATACATTATTAGACGAAAGGTAGACTGTTACGGATAACGGACTTTACACTTTAACCTAATCTAGCTGGAGCTAGTCATTAGCTGGTTATCTCGGATAACAATCTAGTATCTAAACTATGCATCAGTTACCACGGAATAATCGAGTGACCAGTACCAATAATATATTTTATTATTTGTACAAAATCACATTATATTTATTATTTGTACATAACCTCATCGCTAACAAATTTCGACTTCGAAGTTCACACGTTTTCCATTAGTGAAATGAGAAATTGCAAACTTAATTAAAAAATGTTAGTAAATTTACATTTTACTTTATAGTAAATATGATAGCATGCGTATTGTAGTTATGTCATAACTCGTTATTTTATAATTTTTTAAATATATCAATTGATAATATTTGCTCTCGACTTTATTTTGACGTTACATTCTTGGACACACCATTAATTTAATAGGTAAGTTTATTAAAGTTTAATAGATAATTTAATACAATACGAATTCAATTAGCTTTTTTATTTTAGGTTGAATGCTTTTTTCCGAAAATCTTTTATCATTTAAAAATCAATGTTATCATGTCAGAAATATCTATGGCGTTGAGAATAGGCTATACCAATTACTATGGAAATGTCTTTTCAATTGGACCCAAGACTGAAGACCTAACAATTTTATATCAAGGTGTAAATTATAAATATAAAGCATTAATTTAATAGGTAAGTTTATTAGAGTTTAATGGGTAATTTAATACAATACGATTTCAATTAGCTTTTTTAATTTAGGTTGAATGCTTTTTTACTGAAAATATTTCATCTTTTAAAAACCAATGTTATCATGTAAAATTGGTTTTGAGTATGACATATCAATTGCTATGGAAATGTCTTTCCAATCGGACCTAAGACCTTACAATTATATATCAAGGTGTAAATTATAAGTATAAAACATTTATTTCTAATGTGACATTTTTTCATGTGAATGTATAATATCAACACTAAGCAATTTGAATGAAAAGTGTGTTGTGTTAACTTAAAATAATTATTAATGCATGTATTTGTGTATGTGGGTTGATAATACTCATATACCCGTTTCATTTATTTTTAAAAATATCAGTAATTAATGTATGAATTTCATACTACTACATACAAGGAATCGCTTCTTGATTATACCAATATTTATAATAATATGTAAGTGTATTATTTTTATTTGATTAAACTTATCTAAGGTAGTTCAAATGTCTGCTTTCAGTTTAGTTATTTCTTACAATGATATAACCCATATATTGTGTGTCTGACATACATTACGGATATTTTATCATAAAGTTTTAGCTATAACTGACACAGGTATTTGGCTATCAAAGTTAAATTTTATATTAAACTTATTAATATACAATAATTCTCTCTTTTAAAAAGTAGTAATTCTATTAATTTGTATTTAATGAATTCAGTAAATCAAGTAAATTATTTTTTTGAACTTGCCTAAGATAATTCTTATAGTTAATTTTATTTATTGAATTTTGATTTTGTTAGATTTGTTTAATTACCAACGATTGTTAAAAGAAAAAAATTTAAATCAGTATTATAGAAGTTGAACAATTTCAAATGTATAGATATTGTTTTTGTTTAATATTTTTGATTGAATATTTTCAAAATAGTAACATTTGTAATTTTTAAATTTATTGTTGTATTAATAATTAGTTTATGAATATTTTATTAGTTAAATACTTATGTTATCAGACAAAAGATTATTATTGTTCTTTAAATGTTATACTATACTATATATTTGTCGTTGAAATTTATCAACACAATTGTTTGACTATGTGTTATCAATGTTCAAATTTTGTAAAATACACAGTAAAAATTAATAAAAATTGTTTTTAACTTTTTAAAGTAGGAAAATTGTCGCATACGCATTACAGCAAATATTCTTTTAACCATTATTTGCATCATTAAAGGTAAACAAATTTTATTTTTAACAACTATGCATTATAAGTTAGTATAATTGATTTTATAATTATTTGTGTTCATACATAAATATAGTATACATGTATGTATGTGTATAAAATCGGACAAACTTGTCGCGTACAAATTCCATAAAATTTAAATCCTTAATAATGTGTTTTATTACAGAATAATTGTTAAATTTAGATACTACAATTTAGCTAAGGCTATTTTTGATTTAATATTGCCACTTTTACATAATCTTAGTAAAACGTACCCGTTATAATAGATTAATAATGTCAATACTTTAATTTGTATAGTAAACAAGGAAATATCAAATAATGGTTTTCTTTTTAAACAACTAAAATCTATTAAGCTTTTAATTTTCTAGATATTAAATAGTGAAGAAAATAATAAAAATAAGAAAATACTGACTATACATAAAATCAAAATAGCAGATTCAACTGTAAAAGAATTAACTTTTCAATTTGAAATTTTTGAAACAGACATATTTTATTATAAAGGCTTTAGAATCACTATTATTATAACATTATACACCTTATAAGTTATAATAATAATTAGTAAGTACTAATAAAAATATAAGAACATATAAACTATTTAATTTAATAGTTATTAATAAAATAAAAAAGACAAGTTCTGATAATTTAATGTTTGCGTGACACAAACCCTAACTTTATTTCTGAAGTTTAAGTATCACTGTGTGATTTTGTGTAATTGAGTCACAAACTATTGATCCATATTTTTATTAACGGGATCTTAATAAGAAATAACTTGACTTAAAAAAAAATGAAATATCAATTATGTTGAAAAATTTACCGTTACAGAAAAATCAAATCTTTTTTGCCAACAGGATGGGGAAAACAGAAAAAAAAGTAAAAGTACTTTAAATCACAGTTTGGAACTACCGGCTTAAATTAAGTTGATAATTAATACAATTTCAAACTTAACTGTGATTTTGTTGTAGGTTCCTAAAACACTGTTTACAAACATCTAGTCTTTAGACAACTTAATCATTTAAACACAGTCCACTTTATTGCATTATTTTTTATTAATAAAGTTGTTTATATAATAAAAAAAAGTTAGTTATAAATGTAAAATAAGCAACATTTTAAATATTTACTGTAGAATTAAAATAGTAAGCAAATTAAATCCAAAATTCCTTATTTAGTGTAAATTGTTTAAAACAATTATTTGAGCACAGAACATATTTTGAATAAATTGAACATAACTAAACAAATAATAGTAACGCTTCTCGACGCGTGTCTATTCAATGTATGCACTTATGAGATTGTAAGCCAAATTTTAAAGCTATTGTTTACTACCTATAAAAACTAAAAATTATAATTTTCAAATAGCATAATAATGATCTGTTGTACTGTGCTGTTACTTGTTGAATGTAGAACATAGATAGTAGAAAAATATGATAACTAATGATAATAATATTTTGTATTATCATCATAGCAGCAGTTATCAACCTACTTGTACCACGGTTTTTGATTGTTATGGTTAAATAGCCATTCGTTAGCTGCTGTCAATATAGGTCTGTCAACCTACCTGTCATGACGGTGTGTTAGAAAAGTCGGTAATCTATAAATATGAAACGCTGGTCAAACAAAATATCACAAAACATTTTATTGTGTTTGGTTATCTGTGTACTCATCTATCGGACAATGCGATCATAAATAAGTATTTTATTGGCTCCCGGTCTTTGGAAAACCAAAGAAATATAACAATATTTAAGAGAAAATGTAATATCTTTACAAAGTCATAGCTAACGACTAGATGGATAAAAATTAATAATTCAAACGATAACATATTTTTAAATTTTTTGCCTACAAATTTATGGAATTAAAAACATATGTTGCCATTTGAAAACGTGAACTTAGACCCTTTTTATCGTATAAGGGATGAAAATAAAAATTTTCGAAGCATTGAAAAATGTAGTAAAACTTATACCTAAAAGAATAGGAAAAAATGTTTTTTCAAAATATTCATATTTTCCGAGAAAATGAGTGTCTTACGTTAGTTGGATCACCCTGTATATCAAATTTAGTTGCCCAACTATATTTATATCCAGTAACCCACCAAATGAAATTCAATGAAAAATCTTTCATAGGTTTTGAACATTGTTTGTCAATAATGAATTTATTATAAATTATGAAACCGCTGACAAAATGTCTAAAAAAACTTACCGCTCTAATTCCATTTCTGCCGTAGACGGCAAAGCGTCCTCTGCAGTCTGAAATATATAAAAAATTAAATAATAGTGTAAACTTAATGTGTAATAATATACTATTTTAATTACTCTATTATAATTGTACAAATCAAATTGTTTTTTTAAATATTTTACTGCAAGTGTATAGGATCATGGTACATAAAATGTGCAACCCGGACCGCTCTTATTCTGAATAGAGTATTGAAATAGTAGAAAATATCGCAGACAAGTTGGGTATAAAATTGTCAGTAACTAAAGCTTTTCGTACGCTTTCAAACATTTTAAATAAACCAAAAAAAATCACAAGATGTCACGAGGGTGATCAATACCAAATTAACAATCCTGCGGGGTCACAACCAGCAGAGTCTACAAATGCGATCGATAAAAATCAAAATTATCTACTGGATGGCAAATATTACAAAATACTGTCGGTTGACGGATCAAAAATTACTGTTAACTGTCAAATTATTTTTATTATTTGTGTTAGATAGATATACTATTATATAAACTTTGGAAAAATATGTTAAGTGTAATATTTGTTTGCGGTTTTAAAAGTAATTCATTTGTAGCAGTTATCAAATTTTAATATTTAATTCTCTGCTAAGTGTATATCACAAAAGTATATAAGTATTTATATAAAATGTTTACTCATACATTTTCGTATAACATATTTTATGAAGGTTAAAATATAATTTATCTATTTTTCATCTAGATAAAATTGTATTTATCTTTTATCTTTTAGCTAGATAAATGTTAAATGAATAATTCAATATCTTATCTAGATGATATATTACTCAATTGTCCGTTATCTTATCTAGATAACTTTATAGTTTTTATAGAAAAAAAAATGACCGCAAGTCGATTATGTGTCGGCTGGACGCCTCTCGCGCAAAAAAACAGGTGCATCGAATAGCCGACAAAACGGCCCGTGCCAAGCGAACCGAGCGTAAATGTAGCCGGCATACAGGGCCGTACTTACCTCAGGACCACTTTCCAGATCTTCTATAAAAATTTTTAAATCTTGACATTTGGACAAACACAATCTTAATTTTTTATTTCTGGCCCTTGTTAGTGGGCTATTTTCAGTTACTGCTAAAAGCCTTATTTCTTCGTAATATTGTTGACATTTGGCTATCACATGTTGCTTTTCTTCTATTAGTATGTTTTTAATCCTTTAAATTTACAAATTTCAAAACATTAAAAAGATGTACAAACACAGGTTATTAGGAAATAGATAAGCATGCAAAACCAAATAGTTAATACTAATTTCATTTAGAACTATATTCAAGCTATATAAGGTTAGTAAGTACTTATGTTCTAACATATTTTATTTTCTTATTTTGAAAAGTATATTTTCCAAATAAATTCAAATTGAGGGAAAGTAGTCATGTGGCTAACAGTTCCCCCTCATTGGTTTTTTATACTTAATATATTGTATTTAAATGTACATTTTTTATAAAAATAAATTTGATAATTTTTTAAAAACGAAAATTTTTTAAGCTTTTGTGGATTTTGATTATTGTTTATCATTAAAGAATTTTTTTTAATTTTATATAAATAGTTATTTTTAAAGAACCTGAAATTATGAAACCACTGACAAAATGTCTAAAAAGACTTACTGCTCTAATTCCTCGGACGCTTCAGTGGCCGTGGCCAACCGGTCATTTAACGGCAAAGCGTCCCTTGCAGTCTGAAATATATAAAAAATTAAATAATTAGTGTAAACTTAATGTGAAATAGTATACTATTTTAATTACTCTATTATAATTGTACAAACCAAATTGTTTTTTTTTTAAATATTTTACTGGAAGTTTATAGGATCATGGTACGTAATATGTAAAAACAGATTGACAAGTAAGCCAACCTATAATGACCTCCACTCCCTTAATCTATTGAATAAGTTCAATTAGTTCTTGACGAACGCGGTGTTCAAACAAATAGATAAGAGTTATTTGTATTAATAAACAACAAGGAGTTCAAATGTGTAGTTTTCAGTTGCGTTTCTAATTTAAATACTCTTGCAATAACAAAATGGTTTTACATGGGCGGTACATTTTCATACTACCCTAATTACTTCACACAAATGTTTACAATACATGGTTTTATCAACGGCTATTATATAACACTCGTTATATGTTTACTATCCAATAAAAGTACAATATCTTGCACTTTTTGCCTAAAATCAATTTGTGAATATGGTTTTCAAAACAATATTACGATATCACCGCCCGATGTTGTAATAGATTTCGAGAAAACTATTCAATTTTCATGTAAAACTGTTTCGCCTTTAGATAAAGTTACACGGATGTCGCTTTCATCTAACACTATCGTGGAATAAAAATATCCAGCAAAACGGCTTGAAAATTGACTACAAAGATAAGAACAGTGATATTAGAAGGTGAATAGTTCAATGCTATGGTATACCATTTCTAAGCCCAGAAAGTTTATCTGAATATTCTGTAATTCAAGTTTTTATACTATACACCCAGAACTTTTTATGTTTATAGAAAAAATAAAATAAATACAGTTAGAAACTTACATTAAATTAAATAGCTTAATTTAAAAATTTTAATATCAGTGCTCTAAGACCAAACAAAAACGAGAAAAATTGCAAAATATTCAATAATTTCAATTCAATAAAACAAATTCAAGATTTAAACAAATATCAAAAAAAATTATCAGATTTTTATGCTATCAGCGTTTTGCTTATAGAGCCTCTCATTCTGATTATAATGTAACAATAAAATTGTTTATTATACAAGTGCTAAAACAGCAATTCACGGAAATTAAATTGAAATTATTAGCAACCTCTTAGCTACGGAGCGCCAGCTGGTGTTTAAACAAAAAAATCTACTGGATCAGAGCGTAGTCAAATCAAGAGCTCGCGAGGCCCTTTTTTCCTCTTGGCAGACAAGATGGAACGCGTCCCCCAATGGACGGTGGACCCACCGATTGATCACCGGTATTAAATCATGGCACGACAGAAAGCACGGTGAAATAAACTTCCACCTAACGATGATGGCTGGGGGGGGGGGGTGAAATGACTAACATCTGTGCTACCCTCCAGTCTTTGATATAATGTAAGAAAAAAAAAAAAAGGTTAGGTTACGTTAGGAAATTAGCTTATAAGCATTTATGGATTGTAAAAAAAGGGGAAAAAAAATTTGGCCATAGTCAATTTTTTAGTATTTTAGACTTACCAAATCCGGCCTTGGAGCACGGGGGAACTCTTTCACCTCCTCGTCTAATTGTCTCTCTTCTCCCTAAACGCAAAAAAGCTAATTAATACAATATTTAAATATATGTAAATAACAACTCGAGGTTTAATATTTCTCTACTCCAGTTTTGGCATATTTTTTTTTTTTATTACAACTGTAATAGACTACTACAGCTTTTGGGGCGTACAATCGTTAGGTTAGGTTAGGTTAGGAAGTTAGCTTATAAGCATTTATGGATTGTAAAAAAAGGGGGAAATGTAAATAGGCACTGTATCATTGCATTTGTTTATTAAAAGATGATAACATTATTTTCAGCTAATTCATAAAATAACAATGTTACTAACAAGAAGAAGAAGAGACTTACCTTATATTCAGAAGACTGTTCCAAACTTTCTACAGAAGCTTCAGCGTAATGTGTGTTTGGTAAGGTTGCCTTAGCGTTTTGGTTATCATCCTAGGTTAACATAAATAATAACACATGTATAATTAGTTGAAAAAATATAATAAAATTGTAAGCTCAATAAGTCGCGAAGCGACCGAACAAACCTTTTAGAAAACACGACAAGATATGTACTATATACAATATTATAACACTGTGTAATAGTAAGTCTAGAGGCAGGAAGTGAGTTCTTGTAGTAAATATACACACATACACGCCCCGATTAAGAGAATAATTTATAAATATTTAAAATAGCCATTCACCGCCACTTCCCCCTTGTTTTTCTTCTATTACAAATCTATTCCAAGAATTTTCCAAAATCATTGTGGGCAGAGGCAGTTAACTTAGCAATGTTTGTGTTAAAACGCACAGGTGATTCGGGTCAAGTAAGCAAATCTCCTTATGAATTATGGTTCGAAAAATCATGCAAAATAGACAAGTACATAGAAGGTAAAATATACAAATCCTATACCTATACCTAGTTTGCTAACTATCAAATAACAAAACAAAGTAGCTCCTATTGTACCGTTATTCCACTTCTAGTCCTATATTACTTCACGGTAATTATATTGATCAGTGTACCAGAAAAGTTTAGGATGTAAAAAAAATATATATAGAAATAATTTAAGTAAAATTGTATGTTGTAATTATTATGATTACTTTCTGGACGTGGTTTACGGCCGTTTACCTTGGCTGACTAAGTATAAAGAAGAAAATTAACTATCAATATTAATGTTCTTATATTCTAAGAACATCCCTGTTCGCATACATAAGTTTATGAGGAAAATATACAAGTAATCGACTCCTATCAGTATAATGTGTTATTTAATTAGAAATATTGAAGTCGTAAGTATAGGTAGTACCTATAATAAAATACGTTTAGAGTTTTTTGTTACTTCTGCTAATAAAATAAAATGTAATAAACTCTTCATATTTACTTTTTGGAATTCCTATTTAAAATTAAACATAATATTTGTACTATTGTTTTATTATACCAAATAGTAGATACATTTTTTGTAATTAGATCCGAAAAATAAATCTTTAATAATATGGTCTTATCTATAATTATCTCACTTATCTCTTATCGGCGATTGTAAACTGCGCCCAAGGCACAGGTAAACACAAAATCATACAATATGTAAACTGCGACCGAGTTTTTATCAAGTGTAAAAAGGTTACATGTTAACTGCGCCCGAGTTCTTATCGAGTGAAGTTAAGGTTCATTTATACTATTTAATTTAATGTAGGTATGTTTCTATTAAAATTGCTTTTAATTTTTCTAAAAACATAAAAATATTTGGATGAGTTGTTTAAAAACTAGAACTAAAATGGGTATGGAATGACTCGCATGCATTGATGGTTAAAAATGGCTCTTCTGATGCTTGAGCCATATTTCAGGTGGATACTGACTTCTTCACACTATAATAATCTACTAAATAATTCGCAAACGTGTCACTCTTTCGTCGTCGGGCTTAGATATCATTAAAAAATTTATAAAATACTCAGATACACTGTTATGAACCCCTGAAATATTTAGTATTAATTAGAGTAGTATATAAGTTATATTAATATTTCGCAATTGGAGCAACAGGTATCATGCGTAGACGCGGTCGGCCTAAAAGAATGTGTCTATTATTTTAAAACCGGGGCAAATCTATAGTATCTAATTACAGACCAAAAGCAAAAATCGTTCCAATTCCTAAGCTTTTAGAAAAACTCATAATGTCCACTTTCGCACAGACATTTAAAAATACCTTAGACTCCAATCGACATGGTTTTTTATCTGGCAGGTCGACTGACACTAATTAGATTTGTTTTCTATCTAACTTAATAAAATCTACGGAAATTGGCCTTCAAGTAGACGTTATATATATATATATACTGATTTTAGTAAGGTGTTCGACTCTGTTAACCATTCAATCCTTATTTCTAAACTTAAATCCATAGGCATCTCTGATCCTCTTCGATCCTGGTTTAGCTCTTACCTGTCAAACAGATGTCAACAAGTTAAAGTAAACGACCATCTATCCTCACGTTTTCCTACTACCTCTGGAGTTCCCCAAGGCGGTCACATTTCTCCTCTCCTATTCCTTATTTTTATTATGGACATTGTTATACACAGTTAGATTAATATAAATAATAATATTCGCTGATGTTTGTTATGAAACCCAAATTACACGAATGACAAGTTGTGCCGGTGTAGCACTGGCGTATGGTAGACAATTGCACCATATGTTGCATGGAGTTTGTTTGGTCAACACTAGGCGTGTCTGAATAATTAAAAGCAGGAGACAACTCATTTTCTTTTTGGCCGTGTGGTCATATCTTATCATTGTGCCTTAGTCAGAACCATCATTTAAAACTACTTTATGAGTATTATGACTAATATTATCAGTAATTGTACCCTTCTGCCAATTTTCACCTGTTTTTCTGTAATCTTTAACTAACACACCATCCTCCTTATCTAAATTTAAGTCTCTTTTACCCCCGTTTTTTATTTGTGTTACTTGATTATTAATAACTACTTCGTTGGTGTTTGGTATTAATAAATCAAATAGTGTTTGTGTCGAATGACCCAACATGAGTTGAGCGGGAGATTCGTGTGTTGTCGGGTGAGAAGGGACTCCTGTTAAATGCCTAATATCTAGTTTTTTACAGGCGTGAAAAGGCGTGCATTCGGGCTTTATTTCAACGTCGGACTTGTTTCATGCTATAAAGAAGATGGCCGTCATATGTCTGATGTAATTTTTAAAAAATGAAATGGCACTCATTTACATATCATAAAATATTAATAAAATGTTTGTACATCTAAAATATACTGAGTTATGTCTATCTATTTTTGACCCTATTCGTTGGCAGCGGGGGCACGCTGCACCTTAACTATCGATTCATTGTTTTTCACAAACGCGTCGTACGCAAACACACGGTGAACGACACTCCACTGCGCTATAGTGATAACTAAATGACATCTGACGGATCGAATGAGCTTATCTAGACCTGCCTACTCCCATTCAATGTTGAGAAAAACCCATCTATTTTTGTCCCTATTTCCGTGGCCCACCCTGTATTATATTGTATTAAACTTATATATATATACATTATAATAATAATGTACGATTGTGTTAAATGAAAGCGACATCCATGTATGTTTATCCGAGGCCAAATAGCGAGCGAGTGCTAAAACACTCGGATATCTGCCGTCCTCATTATCAATGCTAATTCCACATGCTGACAAGAAACCTCGTCATGGCAATTTATGCAATTTGGTAAAAGTGGTAGAAACCCTAAAATGTTAATATTCCCGTGATTGTATTGATTCGGACGCTGTTTGCATTTCATACCGATGACGAGAAGCTGGACGCAGCTTACATGTAGGTACTAACCTTTTTCCACTTGATAAAAACTCGGGCGCAGTTTACACATACGTTTTTTAAACCAAATTATAAACGAGGCGCGGTTTACGTATGCCCAAAAACTCAATAGATAATCGTTTTCTTGCACCCGGCCTTAAAGGTGCGCGTCCACAAGTCCGCATCGGACGGATTTTAGTGTGCTATAGCCAATACTGGAAAAATTGCACATCCGATTGATACGACCCGTCCGATGCGGACATATGGACGCTTACCTTAACACGTAAAGATTGTCAGCTGGCCCTGGACAAGCGGAGTTGTGTGTGCGACCGTTTCCCTAAGTATGACAATGAAATATTTTTGAAATTCATACGTACGGATTGTAACCACCGAGAGCAGCAATAGTCAACCAGGTAGGCACAACCGAACCCCGCCACAAATCCGCCGGCCGCATACAATTTAAGTGACATCATGTTTCACAAAATCGAGTATGTTGCTGAGACGTGATGACGAATATAACGAAAAACTGAATACTGTTATAAGAATAACGTAAAACTGAATTCTGTTATATAATAATAAATAACAACCAATAATACCTAACAATGATTTAAAAAGCCATTATTATTATTTATTCTATTCGGATAGCTTTTAATCAGCTGTTAAAATTCCGAGCTTTTTAAAAACCCAAAAATGTTTTTTTTAATACATTTCATAACCAATACTTTTTAATGTCTATACAAATGACCAGACCATTATGGGAACTACTCGTCGTTTCCTGAATGCCGACGATTTAGCGACAACTGCGCAGGGGAAAACTTTCAGTGAAGTGGAACACACACTCGCACATGCGCTGGAGAAATTGGACAGATTGTATACACAGAACTCACTAAAACCCAACCGAGCAAATAAGCAAATAAGTGTATTCCAGCACAACCAAAATAGGTTATTTTTTGTTCGCGGCTTTTGGCGATTTAAATAAAAATTGTAACATTTGAATTTAAAAAACTAGTAAACGAGTAAAACAACATTTTTTTTTACTATGTAATAGTCATAATATGTCAGTAATATGTCATAAGTGTAATTAATCATTAACGTGTATTAATAGTCCTACAACTTTACAGGTTGAATTCTAAAATAGTGCAATTATACAAAACAAATGTGTGATTCAATCATCTGTACGAGAAGTATAATAAATGATGTAAAACATAAAAATAAATAACATTTATATTCGCAATTTGAAGAAAATCCAAATTTGCCTTTTTCCAAAGACAAAAATCCTATTTATTCGAGTCGTGTTCGGAATAGTAAAAGCAGCTAAAGTGTCTACATCCAGCCGTGTACCGGATAATAAATCCTTTTGGGGTTCTCTAATGGGATTTGTCGGGCAGCACGGGTTAGGAATTTTTTACAACAGTAATTAGGGTCGACGACGTGCCTGCTAAATCAATATTCGAAAATGTTTTCATATTATATAGTCATAATTCATATATCTATTTGAATAGGTATCGTTTGGTATGAACGACCAAAGCAAATTAGACAACGAATCAATACTGGACAATACTGCATTCCAACCCATATAACGGACATTTTTCAGTTCAGTTTTTTTTAAAAATATTATACCTAAAATATTGTCATTTTGTACGTGGAAGCAAATGAGCTGGAGAGAGAGAGAGAGAGAGAAGGAGGGATAAACAGGTATATTGATAGCATCGTAAAAAAAAGAAACGATCCGGAAAATATTAAACCGGAATGGGGCGAGACCATAAAATAAAGGTCTACAAAAGTTAGATAAGGGCAGATCATGACCGAGTCGTGCATTCGGAATACATTATATTGTTTGTTTAATCTCTCGAATATAGAGTGCACTCTTATCTTGTCAGTGTTTTAAATATATTATATTTTGTTAGTTTGTCCTATCTCATAATATTCTAGTTTAAAGCCACCTTGACCGAATTCTCTGACCTAAAGACGGCGTACCCGCGACATTTATGCATTTACTTGAAAATAAATAAGAAAAAGTTCAATTTTGTCAAATTATTTTTGTTATATTACTTGTCCACCCTCTGATTGGGGTTCGTTTTATTAGTTACCACGTTCAATCGTTCTGACTGCATTTTTTTTTTTTTTACATGGACATGTCTTATGGCAGGGGTCGTTCACAGTGCTGACGTCATTAAGTATATATATATATATATATATATATATTTCTTCTGTCCGTGTGTAAGTATGCAAACTCCTCTCGATTAATGACTTCAATATTTTTTTAAAATTTGTTTATGTCAACTTTTTTTGAGTGAAGTTAAACGGTTCCACGTTAAATACCCAAACAATTACCCATTAAAGTAAGTATGTCTTAGTGGCGTAACGGTTAACACTTTGAACTAATAATCAAGAGGTTTCGGGTTCGAATCGAGTCAGACAAAACTACCTATTTTGTATTTTTTTAATTTTTTAATTTATATTTCAACGGTTAGAAACATTTGAAGCCTCAAAAAAAATCAATTTAACTTGACCTATCGGCTTCTAGACAAAAAAAAAATCTATTATCGTCAGCGGATTTATATTACACAATTTTTTCTTTCTCTTTATAAGAATAACTACAGTGATCCGATCAGCCTAACACACCGGCAAAGATAACAGATATGGACATAGGTTTTAAGTACTCGTGAGCTCGACAAAACAAAAAAAACTCCCCGTCGACCGGCACCCCGTACCGGTAAAAGGGCGTTTAACGACACCAAAGCACTGTGTACTATTATATAAAGCCGTGACAAGACGTGACAGCGTTTCTCGGTGATGTCAAAAAAAAAAAAATGAGTTGGCCGTCGAAACGACTTTGCCCTAAAAAAAAAACGTCACAAAAAACCCGTACCTATCGTCGCTCAAAATCCAAAAAACCTTCAAGTACTTAAGGGCAAAGACTACGACGGTTTTATGTTGTAAGACTTAGTGGTGATAGGGTTTTTCATTTTTTTTTTTTGAGAAAACATGTACGGTAATGGTCGATTGTACCCCATATGTTACGGCCCCACTAACAATAAACGCGATTTTTCGCCATTACCCTTTGTCTTAGGGTCACCAGCCCTTTACATTAAGGTTCTGGCGCGATTCAGACAGGTCGCCGACGTCAAAATGGCATAAAAATCCACTCCTTGACCGAAAACCCGCCAAAACCAAAAAACTTACCCGGCCGCCGGCGGCCGTTGCTATGCAAAATAACAAAGCCTGAAAATTACTAATTTTCAAATGAAAATGGGAGTTTTCCCGGATTTCTCAGCCGCTAGGGCGCATCGAAGGCCGCTCGATCCCTCGTTAGATCCACGAGATCACGGTCTGTCCGACGATGCCAGGCGCGCGAAGAAACAGCGGTTGTTAGCGCCGCGATTTGCCACTAAAACTACTGCGCTTAACCACGACGTACCCTGCTAGTTTCGCGTCTTCCGCCGGTCTCAGGGCCTCGGCCTGATGTTGCTTAATGTTGCCTACAAAATGTTGTCTTACTGGCCCCACTCGACGGTGTCGAGCCACGGACAAAGGAAAGATCTCAGGGGACGACAAATGCATGTATATGCTAGTCGAAGGGTTTGATATAATATGTGCT